TTATTATAACTCTAATAAGGATATTATTTACTATTAAGTAAGGGTTATATTAAATAGTATTAATTTTTACCTTAAGGGGTATTCTGGTTTTATTAAATATTTATAATAATACTTTATTAATATTTTTATTAAAACTTAAGCCTTATCCTTCTTTACTTAATGCTATTATTCCTTTTTACAGTTTTCCTTTTTTTCCTTTTTCTTTTCTTTACTTTATAAGTATAGGTCTTTTATTATTAAAGCAGGGTATCCTAAAACAGGTTACTATTCTACTAAGAGTCTAGGATAGTACTTATTAAGTATTTCTTCTTTATTAAGGAATAAGTTATATATTACTATTCCTAAGCGCAGGTTTTAAATAATTAGAGTTTAAGTTTTATTATACCTATCTTTTTAGGTTATACTAATAGTTTAGATAGCTATATAGGGTTTATTATCTTCTTTATTCCTTTTAATAGTATTTACCTTTTTACTTTCTAAAACTTCAAGTACTAGTTTATTTAGAATTATACCTATTATTTCAGTTTCTCTGAGTAAATTAATAATTATTAATATATATAGCTATCTTAATATACTTAACTAAAGTATTAAGTCTAGGTATCTTATATAGTTTAGCCTAAATGCTTTCTTTAAGTCTATTAAAGAAGAGTAATATAAAGGCATTTTATTCCTAGTCTAGCTTAAATATAAAGTTTTAGTATTTTACTGTATATTTTAAAGCTAACTTTATCTATTTAAGGAATTTAATATATCTTTCTATATAACTTTTTTATTAACTGTCTTAAATGCTTATTTAAGTGCGTTTTTAGAGGCACTATAACTATTATAAAGCATAAAGGTTTAAGGTTATAGCTCTAATTCGGGTTTACTAGTATATTCTTCTATAATAAGTTAAAACCATTATATAGCTATGCCCTTAAGGCATCCTATAATATATATAGTTTTAGCAGAATCTCTTTTAAACTAAGTTAAATAGTAGATCATAAAGGCCTTATACTAGGTTAGGAATATAGCTAGCTTATTAAGGGTTTTATTAAATAGCTTAAGCAGGTTAGGCTTAAGTATTTCTCTAATATCTCTACCTACTACTATAATAGTAATAAGGTTTTGTATTTCTTAAAGTCTATCCTAATTATTAATTACCTATTAGGCCTAAAGGTTTATTACTTTTATAAGTATTTAGTAAAGTTTAGCCATTTTAATAGTTATATTAATAACTTATTATTAAAGTTAAGTAACTTCTTTATCTTCTTTCTTAGATAAGTTATCTTTATTATCCCCTATTACCTAGTTAGTAAGTAAGTTATTATTAATAAGGATAAGTATTTAAATTTTATAATCCTTATAAGATAACTATTTAGATATATAGTTAGATATTATAAAATATAATAATAAAAAGTTAAAGTTAGGCCTTACTAAAAGAAAACTAATATTAATTAGAATAATAGGCCTTAAGGATAAGACTAATAGAGAAGGGAGATTATATTATAATTTTAGTAGTTATATTATATATACTTTATAAAATTCCCTTAATATAACTAACTAAGTAAAGACTAATACTTATAAAGACTAATAGTAGTCTAAGACTATATTACTTTAGGATTAATATTATTTTTATATTATATTACTTTTATAAAACTATATCTAGTATATAGACTATATTTATTAGTACTTTTATAGAACTTAGCTTACTAGCTATTAATAAAACTTCTTTATATTAATTAAGCTTCATATATATTAAATCTACTATTAAGAGATATACTACTTTAATAACTACTTAGTACTATACTGTATACAATCTGCTAACAATAAACCTAATATGGCTTAGTTTATCTATAGTTGGAAACCCAACTGTTATAAATAAGGGAAATATCTTTTTTATGCTTATAAATTAAGGCTACTTATTTAATTAGATTTTAAGGTTTAAGGCAGTAGCTATATAATTTATTAACTTAATATTAAGGTTATTATATATATATTTTTTTTAATATAATATAATATATAATGCCTTATATTATATTTATATTAAAAAAAGAAAAATATTATTATTATCTTACTTTATATATAGTTATAGTATTACTTTTCTCTTAATATTATAATATATTTTTAATATATATTAATAGTTAATATACGTTAGTAAAAGCTTTATACTTTTATTATAAGGAGTATTATAAGTTAATTAAATACTTTATAGGTTTTTAACTTAATTATCTTACTTATATATAATATATTATTATAAGTATTATTTAAATACTTAATTTATATATTTAATTTACTTACCTACCTAAGGCCTAAAAAGAATATAAGGTAGTACTTTAATCCTAAGTATAATATAAATACCTATTAATAATATTTTTATAAAACAGATAAGTAAGTTCTTTTATATTTATTACTTTTATATAAGGTAAATAATATAAAAACTTTATAAGTTAATTTATAATATTTATAATATTATTATAATTAAGTTATATAATTATTGTATTACTAATAGTAATTATAATTCCTTATATAGCTTATATTATTAAGACCTTATTTTTATATAAAGCTTATATTATTTAATTCCCTAGTTTAAACTACTGCAATTTTACTAATTTTACTTTATTTATTCTTATATATAAGGTTAATTAGTTATATGCCTTATTATATATATTAAATTAATTAAGTTATAACTTTAAGTTAATTTAACTTTTATTAACTAACTTATATAAAACTTAATATTATTCCTTTAATTCTAACTTAAATAAAGTTTCTAAGCCCTGCCTTTACCTTATATTTATTTAACTTTATATATAAACTTCTTATTTTTATTTATATATAATAAGGAGGATATAAAATATGTATTCTACCTTTATAAATATATTAATAAGCTACTCTTTATATTAGGCTAAGTTTAGGCTTATAAAGGTAATAAGTAAAACTACCTTTTTTACTTTTAAAGGCTAATTATATCTTAAGGATTCTTTTTAGCTTTTTTAATTTAAATAACTTTTAATTAATTTAGTATAGAGATATTATATTTTTTTAAGAAACTTAAATTTATATAACTAATTAATAAAAATAGGCTATAATTAAAAATAATTATTTTAATAAAGTTAGATTTCTCTTTTAATAAGAAGTTCTTTTTAATAGCTATAATTAATATTAGTAAATATTACTAACCTTTATAAGAAGAAAAATAATTTACTTACTTATTAAAAATATTAAAATAAATTACTTAAGTTATAAATTAGACTTTAAGTATATTAGATTATATATAATTATTAAGAAAATCTTAGAAAATAATTATAAATTAAACCTATTATTAAAGATTAGGCTTTAATTAACTTCTTATATTTTATTATTTAAGTTAGTAATTATTATAATATAAAGTAAAATAAATAATAAACTTATTATAGTTAAAAAACTAAAAATATATAAATTAAAAGAAATTAAATATATATAAAGGATTATTAAATAAAAGATATATTTAATTAAAAAAAAAGATTATTTAAAAAGTAAAAACATATAAGAATTATTAAAATATCTTATTAATACCTAATAATTACTAAAGAACTTTTATTAATAGTATTAAAGGAAAACATTACTCCTTAATTAATAATATTTATAATATTAGTTAATTAAGCCTTTATAATAATAAAATATTTAATATTTTTAGCTACCTTTAGCTTATATAAAGTCTTAATATTATAATAAAGCATCTTACTACTATACTTATTTAATTAATACTTTTAATAATAAAAATATATTAAGTAACTTAAATATATATTTACTTATTACTATAATTATAATAATATAATCTTAGGTACTATTTTTTTATACTTAAAATAGTATTTCTTAGTAATAAAATAATTAGTTATTATAATTAAAATATATAAATATATTTTAAAAATAAATAATTTACCTTTAACTAGGGAACTACCTTTTTTATTATACTTTTATTTATAATAAGTATATTAAGTATATTTAAAATAACCTTCTTTAGCCTAATATTATAAACCTTATAATTTATAGTAATTATATATTATACTAAGAAAAATAACACTCTTAATTAAAAGTACTTATATATAATAATAATAAATAGCCTTAAATTCTAATATATTAAAAGAATATTATAAATCTAAGTTAATATATATTAAGATAATATAAAAAGAAAGTAAATATATAAGTCTTAAGGGCAAGAATAATAAAAGGAAGGAGATTATATTTTAACCTAGCTAAACTAAGTGCTTATATTATATATACTTTGCTTATTCTTACTAATTAAATAAAGCCTTACTAAGACTAAAATATAAAGACTATAAGACTTATAAGGACTTTTATAATAATTATTATATCTTATTATACTATTAAACTTTATATATATATATATATTTTAATATTAAATAAGACTTAGCTTACTTACTATTAATAAAACTTCTTTATATTAATAAGCTTAATATCTATTACTTAATTATTAAGAGATATAACCCTTTACAACTACTTAATACTAATACCTTATATTATTTATAAATATAAACTTAATATAAATTAGTTTACTTATTTAGAAACCTAACTATTATAAGAGACTAATAGCTAGTATTTGTATTATTTAATTAAAGTAGTACTTATATTATTAAGGCAGATAAATCTTATTTAATATTAACTTTTATTATAATAGCTTATTATAAAGGTCTTTATATATAAGTTATTAATAAAATATATATAATTAAATATATAATTACTTAACTTTATATATAAAATAAAAGAAATCTAATAGAAAAAGTTATTTAAATTAAATAGTATTTATTTATATAAAATTTAAAAATATTTTTTAAAAATATATTAATTAGAGTATTAATAAAACATTAAATAACTAATTAAATATATAAATAAATAATTAAACAAATAATTAAGTAAAAATAAGCTTAGTAAAATTAAGCTTAGTAAAAAGGCTATATAAATAAGGTAAATAATGGCATTTATCTTATTTAAAATAATATTAAGCTATTAACATTAATCTCTTATATTAAAAACTGTCCTTGGCTTTGCCTTAAACCCTCCACGCCCTTTAACCAGCTCACTCTATGCTTCAAGTACTGCTCAATATCCGGCTTTAGCACTGTCTCCACAACCTTGAAATCATCAACTGTGCCTCCTCTAAGTACACTGACCCCTGTGTAAGCCGAAGACCTTCTGTACATCAACGACCCGCATGTACGGCAGAAGAAATTGGTCATCGCGCTTCCATCTCTCTCAATCGTGTCCGACTGGCTGAACTGTTTAAGGTTCGCTTCGCCACGTAAGTGCTTCAGGTGTGTATCGAGAACAACTATGCCAGTCGTGAACATGGATGCTGTGATCTTGCGACAGTCACTGCAGTGACAGATAAAGGAAAAAATGAATCCTGGTTTGGTTACAGGCTAATGACAATAAGTGAGTGTCTTGGGGTCTTTGATAGGGAACCCACTAAGACGACCTGAACCGCACCGCAGTAGCATGTCGCTGTTGCTTCCTCTTTAGTAGACCATCCATCTTGTGCAAGTCCCGCTCGTGGGAAGAACCTTTCAGCCTCGTGGGACTGTTCGCTAGCCATGGTTCGTAATAAGACGGTGGGCTGAAGGTGATGTTGACGAAACCTCACATATGTTTAAAAAGAGGTAAAGAGGTTCCTGATACTGGTTGCAACTTGTTTCCTGAAGTCCTTGCCAAGGTGGCCTTCAATCACAGTCGTGAGCTGCTGCGTGTTCTATTTAACTGATGTCAGCGGATATCTCGGTTTGTTTCTTGAGGTCATCGCAGCTGAAAGTCCGCAACTCCGCAAAAAGACTGAGGTGTTCAGTAATCATAGTTCCTATACACAACGTCTTTTGCGGATATAATTATATAAATAATCCGAGGCAGACTGTATAAATCCGCACAAGACGTGGATAGTAGGCTTAGGTACATAACTAATCTATAACGTTAAATAACAGTATGTGTGCCATTGTATAGTAAACTTATATAACTGTATTTTTCGCATTAAATCTCTAATTATTATTAATCATTCAACTTATATATATACTCCTTTCAAGTCCCTCTAAACAGACATACAATAAGCACTAGCTCTCAGCCCATAATTAACTCCAACCAATACATTAAAAATCCCAGTTCAGGCATCATACCAACTCCTCCCAAAGTTCCTACTGAGGCTTCTCAAACGAGTATCGTGGCGATGACAGGACAGAAGATGCCACTGTCTTGCTGCCATGCGCGAAGCCAGGTGATGGCTGAGGGTAGTATGCAACTACAGCTGCGTTGACGGACTCATGGTGTTCTTTGGCATGACGGACGATTGAAGACCAGACTCGTCGGGCATTGATCTTGGTGGATTCCATTGTGTTCGGAACGTGTATTGCTTTCCGAGAGATAGTGGAGTTGTATGTAGCAGTGGTTTTGTAGGGCTGCAGTATGCAAGATATAGTTGCTGTGGAGATAGTAGTGTATTGATGTTTTGATTGAACTTGTTTGGAGTGTTGTTATTGGAGTTGAAGATGTTCTTGAATTGATGTTTGTTCAACGAGTTAGTTGCTTGAGGATGAGAAGAAAAAAAGACCCTACATGGCAGGAAATCGCATGCTCTTATATCATGTTCGACATCCTCTCTCACCCAAGTTATGACTCTATAGAATTCTCTCGAAGAGTCCCACTGTAAAACTCCTGTTTGACATGCCGTCGTTCAATACTTCCATTTCGGGACTCGGTACACGGGCGTCACAATTTTCCTTGCTTATGATTGGACACCGGTCCGAACTCGATTTAGTGGCTGAACCCTGTGGCATGCGCTATTGTTAAAATCTTTAGGTCATTTGTCATCGTTGCTTAGATGTCAACTTGACAATTGCGCCCTTCATTGTGTAGTGACCGTTCTGAGTCATACGAGCTTGTCGTCCACTACGCCCTACAAATTTTTTCTTCAATTGAGTTGCCATCTGGCATTGGTAATCCGATATTCGCAATGACGTTTTTTCAGCAACGAATGCTACATCCAATCCTCAGTTTTCTCTCACCTCAATGGGTCACGCGATGAATGCTTATTTTTCGCCATGTCAAGGAATTGAATAGGCTTTGTAACCGCCGCATGATTATGTCATTCGATCTCTACAAAGTCAATGCTCCAACCACGTTTTCCCTTGCAAAATATCTCTACGCAAAAGCTTCGAGATTGCTCTTCCCTCGTACTTGGCTGCGCGTCATCCCTGTTTTCCTCCGCGTCCACCATCCGAGTCTTGATGACAGTCCATCCAGATCTTGATCCCTCGTTATTGTACTCCTTATCCAAATATGCTATCAGTCTCTGCACGCGCTCTATATCCCATATGCCTTCTCTTGTGTCAGGTCTAGACGCAACCCATGCCTTGATCCAGTTTGCTATCACAGCATCGGACATATGGTAGGCGTTGAGCATAGCAGGAAGCATTCCATACCCGTAGTTATTCACTATGACGGACAGGTCGTATGGTAGCCCGGCAGCAAGACGACAGATCTTACGTAATATGGCCGAACGTTCAGAGGGAGAAAGTTTGGGGCCTGATTCTGGCGAGTGCATCAAGTCAAGTCGAAGCGTGGATACGAGGTAATGCGTAAAGCTTGTAGCTGGCCTGACTGGTTCGGGTGAAGAAAGAAGAGTCAGTGGCTTCATATCAATATCTGCCTCTGGTCCCTCGCCATCAAAGTCAGGGATATCTTCCGGCAACAGGCTGGCTCGCCATTGTTCTAGCTCAAGTCTGAGGTTGTCAACACGCTGATCCCACTCGGCGCCTGGTCGAAGATTAGATCTCCATTCTTCTTCCAGATCGTTCACTCTGGGCATGATGTAGAGCAGCCTGTCGTAAGGCAAGACTGAGCCAGCGAGATATTGGACGAGAGATCGTGATGCCTCAGATGATACAACTCGTTCCTGGATCGAATGTGTACGCTCGTAGATCTCCAACAGGGCTGCTATTCTTGAGAAAGCAGAGACCAGGGATTCTCCAATAGTTGTCTCCCTCACAAGACTCAAATGCGATGAGAGGAACTCAACCGCCGCGCGACCATGTACGCACCATAATCTCATCTGTGCTCGTCTTAGTTCAAAGTGCGCCAGTAATAAGACCGTACTGAGCCAAGACACTATCTTCTCTCGTCTTCCAGGGCCGTGTTCGTTTCCTGGGGTTGGCATGTCTGGGTTCATATCCTCTATCGGGATGTTCCCTACATCCCCAAGGGCTATGACAAAGTGTTCTAGTGCGTGTATTGCGGCTTGACTCCGCAACTGCTGTCCCATGTTGGACTTGGAGACTTTGAGAGCTGACAAGGCTAAAGCAGCATGGTAGAATGATGCACTCAGAAACCCGGCATCCATGACGTCGTTGAGATATAATAGCGTGAGGACGCCGTATGGTGATGTATCCCGAAGATGATGGTAGTAGAGCATATCCTCGGGAAACTTCATGCTCTCAAGAAGCCCTTGAGGGATGATCGGAGCCGTGTGAAGTCCATTGAAGAATTGACTACTTCTCGAGGTTGGAATCTGCCTTTGTGGAGCTGCTTGGGGAGATGAGAGGCTTAATGGACCGAAGAATGGGAACGACGTTTGGGGACTTTGGTCCGATGTAGCAACTGGTGACACGATATATGGCAAGCCACCACGAATATTCCCAGCTGGTGCCGGCGCGTCAACACCGGTATCAGGTATTAATCCAGAGTCCCAAGCCGTAGGTGTATCAGAAGATGAAAGTGCGGTAGTTACATCGGAGCTATTGTTTGCCTGGCTAGCATCGTAGATGGGACTTTGCGTGGCGACGACGTCATTCTCCAGGTCTGGTGCTGGAGTCACATATGAAGAATAGAACTCATGGGCCGGGCTCTGTGTTTCTTCGGCTTGCGATACATTGTCAACACTATCTTGCCTGTCTGGTGACTCGCCTATCGCTTGCCCAGACCGTGTCCGACGAGGCGAGCCATGCTTGAACAGCTTGTTCTGATCTTTGAAGATAATCTGGTTTGCATAACCACCACATGGCATGCACAATCGTATGCACTGTGGATACCACGAATCAGTGACTCAGCCCTATGGAGATGATATTCGAGTCATTGGCGTTGACCTACGTTATTGCATTCTGGCTTTGTCTCGTCACATTTCAATCGCCGAGCTCGGCACGTGACGCAGCCGTTGCGATTGCGAGTCTTGACGTTTCGCCGCCGTATGACACGACCAGACATTGCTCTGTCCCTTAATAGTTAATAGGGCATGTGTGATCGGAATTGGCGGAAACGAACGAGCCGTGTCAATGTATCGCGACGTTTACTCACTACCAGACCGACTGAAGAGTCTGAGAGGTTGGTAATGACGAAAGCGCGTATGAAATTACTGAATTGGGACGTGTTGAACGAGCGGGGAAGATGTGCAAGTTGATTGGCGTTTTAGACTCCTCGATTAGGCAAAGGCCCATCGTTTTATGCATATTATAAACTGCCGACATAATTGTGTTCTTTACCGTGTGATATCTTGTGATGAGCCGCAAGGCTGAAGGGTGCATCACCGCATAATTACTACACAGACTCGTCGATCGTGAATCAATTTCACGGTTGTGGTGGTGAAGATGTAGAAAGTGGCCCGGTCAATCACATCTCTCCAGGCTTCATTTACTCAAGATGCGATGTCGCTCCTGTCACTGTAGCCAGGGGAAGAACTGACTAAACGCTCAAATTCTGCCAAAATGCACGTATACGGGGAGCAAAATCCCATGGAAACCTACAGTCACGCCCTTGACCTTAATATAAGGACATCACCCTCTGTGTCCAGACTATCATCATGTTTGAGCCCATCGTATGAGCATTGTGATAGTTGAAGACTTGCCAATTGAATACAAGAAAAGCGGCAGAACCGAGGCATTGCCGGAAACTTACAATACGAACAGCGTTTCTACTGGGTAGAATCAGTTGAGCGAATTCGAGGTCAGCCAACGCGAAATATTGATGGCGAATGCATGATCCCCGCTTGGGCTCGTCGCTTGTCGTGTCTCAAAACGGAAACGTCGAACGAGCTCTCAGCCAAGAGAAGGGTTGTTTAAGTCGGAGAATATCCTACCATTTTGAACAATACACACCTGATTCCCGTTCGTGTGACACTGCCGAGTCCTCCAATATACTATCTGCATTGACAATAATTGCATTTGTAATCTCCAATCAGAAACGCCGCATTCTTACGCCCAGTTACAGTCGATATTGTCATGGAGGTCTCAAAAGCGATATCGGATCCCGAGCCAGGATCGTTGATGGTCGAGAAGAAGACATCGTTCGAGTCACAACAAACAACAAGGGCGATCGTTACCTTTGACAGCAATGACCCAGAGAACCCCAACAATTGGTCCAAGGTATGCCGTTCCCATTCCAACACCAAAGTCCAGGTACTGACAGTTGTTAGGCCAAGAAGAGATTCGTGGTGTTTACTCTCACCTTGACGTTGTTCAACAGCACACTGTCTTCTTCTCTTCCAGCCAATGCCATGTCACCGATGGCCGCTGAGTTCGGTATAGACGACAAACGAGGGAACCCACAATTGGCACTGCCCATATCACTCTTCCTGGTAGGATATGTCTTTGGACCACTCCTCTTTGGACCTCTTTCAGAGCTTCAAGGTCGTAAATATGTTCTTCAAGCGGCCTTCATTGTTTACATCTTGTTCACTCTTGCCTGCGCTCTAGCACCAAACTGGCCGTCGATGCTGGTCTTCCGGCTCATGGCAGGCATTGTTGGCAGCTCACCAAGTACACTCGGCGGTGGTATCATCGCAGACATGCACAGCGACTTGACCCAGCGGGGAAGAGCTCTTACATATTACTACACAGCGAGTATCTGCGCGCCATTGATTGCTCCAACAATAGCTGCCTACCTAGCACCGATATCATGGCGATGGGCTTACTGGTTCGGTCTCATATTTGCCGGTGTGACAATCATTCCGTTGGCATTGTTACCAGAAACCTTTGGCCCTACCATTCTTGCCCGGCGCGCGAAAAAGATTCGGCGATCTGCACTGAAGACTGGTCAGGGCAATGTTGAGACGTATGCCGCCATCGAGCTGGAAGCCAAAGGCTGGCGCAACCTTATGAGTGTCGTACTAATTCGCCCCTTACATATGCTCTTCACCGAGCTGATCGTCGCTGCGACGGCTACATACATCGCTCTAGCTTACAGTGTCTACTACATGTTCTTTCAGACATACCCTATTGTCTTCAAGGGCATCTATAAAATGTCAAACCAAACAAGCAGCTTCATGTACTTGCCTATTGCAGGAGGAATCTGCCTTGGACTGGTCATGTTCTTCCTATGGGATGCCTACTACAGACGCTGCAAAAAGGCTGGCCGAACCTGGGCACAGAAGAATGAGTACAGCAGACTACCTTTAGCATGCATGGGCGGTCCTCTTCTGGCCATCTCACTCTTCTGGGCTGGATGGACTGCACGGTCCGATATTACCTGGGTATCACCAATGATAGCAGGAATTCCATTCGGAGCTGCTCAGCTTCTGATCAGTATTGCCCTAACGACTTATCTGGGCGATTGCTACGGAGTGTACTCAGCATCAGCCATGGCGGCGGGAACGTGTCTGCGAAATCTTGCAGGTGCTGGACTATGTATCGCCGCGGCGCCGATGTACACCAAACTTGGTGTTGGATGGGCTTCAACACTTCTTGGGGGCGTAAGCGTCTTGATGTGTGCTATTCCATTTGTATTCATTCGGTACGGGGATACTATTCGACAGCGAAGTAAGTTCTATCAGAGGCTAAAAGCAGAGATGGAATCGTCGCAGAGTGAAGCAGAGAGTGATTGAGGCGAAGCTCAAAAGGGAAACGATATAAATAGAATGATAAATTAAGGTTCTAATCTTAGACACAAGTACGTTAAATAGATAACATAGATATTACTCCTATAAAAGACAAATGACTCATGAGCAGATACCGTAAGACAAACAATACCCAAGAACTACGTGTACTTTCTTCACCAAAGTATTCTATCACAAGGCAAAGGCTATGAAACAGATAGCAGCATATGTCGTTGCGAGGGAAACAAGTCTCCCTTACGATGCTCACTTGGAGACTTTGTCGAAGATTCCCTCAAGCCAGCCCAAAGTTTCCTGAGCAAGCTGGTTCTCCGCCCCAATGGCACAATGAACCCCTGACCCCAACTCAGTCTTAAACAAAACGTAATGCGCCTCCTTTCCCAAAGCCCTAGCCATCTCCTCTGGCTGTTCCGGGGCAGTCATATCATCCTGGCCCGAGGCAACAAGGACGGGACAGTTGATCCTGGAGAGGCTCCGCTTGTCAAGGTTAAACTCTCCCACCATGGTCAGCCACTTGAAAGGACTCTTGGTGTTCCATGCCCACATCCCTTGGTTGATCGGCCAGCTAAGAGCCGTTGGAAGCTTAGGGTTCTTGAGAAGACTATAGATCTCATCATCAAAGGCAGTGCTGTTACCTGAAAGGAAGAGCTTGGTCAAAGCCGGAGGAAACTGCTCCAGGATGGAACGTTGAAGGTTGAGCATTCCGTCGATTGCAAGTACTGCTGCCAATCTATGTTCATGTGTCGCAGCCAACGGTGCAAGAAGTCCACCAAAAGACATGCCAATAAGAGCAACTCGGTCAGGGTCAACATCATGCCGACTGCGAACATAGTCGACAACGGGAGTGACGGCCTCCCACCACTCAGGCACGAAGCCGAGATTCTGCTGTCGACGCACCGTCGCTTGTCCTGGACCTTCGTATGTGATGCAGTTCCAGCCACGCTGAATGATCTCCCGACAGTTGCTATGATAGAGAGCCTCTTGAGACCCATCATAACCGGTTCCAACGATGACTGTTGGGATCTTCCTTTCGTAGCCAAGGCGTTTTCCGGCAGGGAGTTGAGCATCTGCCGGGTAAAAGTATGCGGGAACAGTGAATTTGGTGGCCTTCAACTCCACAAAGGTCGGAGGCTTGGGAAGAAGGTTGACAGCCTTTGTGAAGCTCGCGTTCTGTTTCTGCCAGAGAGTACTGATTCGGGGATCAGACTGGTTACCATGTAAGAAGAAGTCGGCACCTCTATAGTAAGATGATGATCTGAAGTAGGCTGAGCGAGCAGAGACCCAGTCCTTCTGCTTCTCAGCCGCAACTGCCTGTTCATGGATCTTGTCTGCAAGAAACTTGAATTCGTGGTACCAGCTTTCTGGGTTGTTCGGTTCGATCACAGCAGCAGCGCGTAGGACTTCTCCCGTGGCACTACCACCTTCGTTGGCGAGAGAAAGATATTCGCTAAGGATGAATGAGAACTCGGTGTCTTTGCTAAGTTGGAACATAGACGTGGTGGTGTTGGAAATGGTGGCATTGGGTGGATAGGCTTCGGCCTCATGAGCACTGATCGCCTGTTTCTCAGTCAGTACAAGTTAAAGAGGCAGATTATGCACGGGAAGGAATACCGTTGCAAGGAGAGTACCCCAGGCTACGATGCCTGATAAGGAGAGCATCTTGAGTTAGATGATGATTGTATTGAATGCGAAAGTCGTAGAAGGGATGTGAGTTGGTTTCTTGTCTACGAGCTGAAACGAACACCATTTCTCTGGCATCAGGACTTCTTAAATGTCATTCCTGGTCGGCGGCCTCATCCTGCACGACGACGTCGTGATATTAGACATACTCGAATGAGTTACTTGTTTAAGCTTTCACTTCCATGAATCTCCATACTGTATACTTCCCAAACAATGTAATTACCATAAGGCTGAGATTGATCTCGAATGAAATACTGTATTTGGTCAAGTGAGGATTCAATGTTCATGAGCCGTGCTTACATGTCCCACCAAATGCGTCATGGCTCATGCTGACATGCCAGGAACAGCCTTATATGGTGCCGATATAACCGAGTAGGAATCAAGATCGACTTATTACTGGATTTTTGGTTCACATTTAATTGATAATCTGACTTGTTGATCCCAATCAGTTGCATCTTGCTGTGACGTTTGAATGGAGCTTGCTAGTTAGTGGACCTTTGTGCCCGTGGCTGGGGTATTTGGGCAAGCCGGCAGGCAAAAGGTTAACGTGAATTGGCTGTCTTCTCAATTGTCAACACAATTGGCAAAGCGGAAGAACAAAAAGAGAAATGTCGTCAAAAAAACAGGTTTGTGTCGGTGGAGAGGCTCGAACTCTCGACCTTTGGATTACTTTGATCTGTGATCAAATCACGCTTTGTGCTATGAGACCAACGCTCTAACCAACTGAGCCACACCGACAGTGCTTTGAGTGGTTGGGATGCCCACTCAAATCGTTGGCGGAGAGCGAAAGAATTGCCGTACAAGAATTGAGCTCACTGAGACAGAGCTGATCGATCATGGATAGCATTGATAACTGGCTGGGCAAGGACTTTATCGGGCTGTTGTTATGTTACAAGATGTACTTCGTTACTAACAGATACTGCCCCGGTATGCTGGACATGAAGAGCCTGCGTTGTTCGGTCTTCTCATGCAAAGGCCTAGTAAGCAACTCAATCAACAACAAGTACTGTCTTTACTTTTAAAAAAATAGAGACTCGTTACCATCTTGTCTCCTAATTGCTTTAGAGTCTGCGCGGACAAGTTCAACTACGTGTTCAAGATCATCATGAAGTTCTTGAGGTTCCCCATCCGCCTGTTTCTTCAACGCTAGACAATTCCTGGTCAAGCAGACCCACAGGCAACTGGTGAGAAGAGCAAAAAGAAACCATGCGGTTTGTGTGGATCGAACACACGACCTTCAGATATCGAATGATAGTGATTGAAGTTGAACTTCAGTCTGACGCTCTCCCAACTGAGCTAAACCCGCTTGTTGTTTTGCCGAGCTTTGATTGGCAACATAGACGACTCCGGCCGACGAACGCTGATGCTCGAGCGTGGGAGCACTGTATCTGTCGAGTCTGTTCGATCAAGTCCTCAATTGATACATCAAAAGAATTAGAATGGCAATTGAATGGGTGAGGTAAAGATAACCAGAGCTTACCGGAAACTTGGCGATAACGCTTAGCGTTGCTTTGTCTTACCACCACCTGGCGCTGCGAAAATGTTAGGCTCAAGCTCAAGGGTAAGCTTTGACAAACAGAGAATGTGAATGGGCATATCTTCCTTGACATAAAGCCCCTCACTGTATCAAGTTCGGTACAGTGTCTAGACATTGCTTGTTAGCCACTACTCGATTCTGAACAGTTGGTTTCATGGAAGCTGCCAGCAGAGCGGAAGCAAACAGGCTTTGTTGGTCAAGTGATTGAGGTGAGCACTGTCACACATAAACACGTCAGCCCATGTTGGCATGTCTCGCACCTTGCATTTGGGCCACTATCATTCCATTGCTAATGAGTTATCTGACCTTCTGTAACAGGAAATGAAGCAAGCAGAACCTACCAAAAGCGACAGTACCTGAGGCGAAATGCTAGAGGTCAAGACAAAGGCTGTCAGATCACGGCACTACTGTCAATATAGGCCAAAAGAAATGACGAGTCTTGTACATACGACCAAAGGTAGTGGAAAATACGGGATCCCGTCCGCTCTCCCATAGTCAAGCCACTAACCGGCGGATTAGTAGTTGGGTCGGTGACGACCAGCGAATCCCCGCTGTTGTATGTTTTTGCCGTTTGTGTCTCTGGCCTGTCTTTCTTTTTTGCTGCTGTATAGGGCTTCATCGGACTGAATGACTGACTGTTGGACCGCTAGCTGATTGTCTGTCGCGCTGATGTTGTTGTTGCAAAACGCAGCCAACAGTCGCCGGGCAAGTGGTGCCGAAGTGCACGGCAAACGCACGACACACACCAATTTACAGCGTGGTGTTAGGGACACCAACCAGACATACAGTGAGTGAATGCAGTGCAATGTTAGCGACGAGTAAGAGATCAGCACATAATGGCCAGCGAACAAATGGAGACAACGAATAATGAAGCTCCAAAAGATGGTGCTTGCGAAAAAGCTCTCTACTTGAAGCCATTCGACTGTATGAGCTGTTGGGCTCCAGGTGCTGGCTCTGTCACGTCCAGCGACTCCGCGGGATGCTGTGTTGACAGGAGAAGGAAATGTACCTTTTGCGCTGGTGGCTCTAGAGTGCCGCCGTAGCAAGTGTTTGGGCACAAGTGCAAGGGTCATCTGAAGATGGTCCAGGGTGTATCCCACTGATAAGCTGCCTTATCAGACGTACCCATTCGTGGCTGATCCATTCGACAGCCATTTGATTGCCCCGCTATTGTTAGGGGACATGCAATGTCGCTCAGTACGGGAGCCCTTGAACGTGTCTTATCGCGTCGCGTTTTATCGCGTCAAGTGCCAAGTCATATTTGACGGAGCATCTCTTCGGCATCTGGCACGCGTGATTGAAACAGACACTCGTTGCCACAGTGTCGTTTATTATGTATTTCTCGTACTAAACACTTGTTGGCCATCATCATTTAGTGTCTCCATTGCATTGGTGCCGTTTGAGGTAGTATACATAAGCCTCATGACACCAAAGATCCACGGCCCAGGACGCGTTCACTTAGCTGTACTCTCAAGTTCTTCGCCTGCGAGGGACTTCATCTGTTGTGTTAGGAATGATGTAATGTCTCGAAGCCTCCACGATCAGCCATCGTAGGGTTCTGTCGCTAGCTGATCGGGAGGTCGGTGCTGAGGAGACTGAGACACACAGCTCTATCTAAGAGGCCATAGCTCCTGGAGCTCTGGGAGCCTGGGATATTGTCTCATTGCCCCTCGTACCGATCATTTTCAGCTGCCTACCAACTGAAGATCACATCCCCATCTCCCGTAGAGCTGAAAGGAGTAGCCAATCGTGTCGCAAGTTGTCTGCCCTACGAGCCCGTTAGTCAAGACATTGTCGTTGTGTTGAAACACCTTTCGGAGCCTCTTACCCAACCGATCGACAACAAGACCCAGGCAATCCAAGTACCGTGCAAATCGTTATTAAACAGCGTAGATAGAGACACGAAGCGGTCAGATGTCCTGGTTTCGCGGCAGGGTCATCACTGCAACTGTTGCCTCAAGGCATCCAGCTTGGCCCTTGCATAGCCCCGAGAATCAGGACGATGGTTAGTCGCGGGACTGTGATTGCGTCACACCGGGATGCATCTGAGTTAACCTGGCCCACGGCTCAGTAGAATCATGGACGAGCTTTGCACATCTCTTCTGCCGTGTCTCACAGACTCTGCACTGGAGACCGAAAATGGCATCCGTGTTTCTGTATGGACGCCATTTCGTCAGTTCGATGAGGGGTTGAGTTACACGTCACAACGCATGATATCGGCATCTTTCGTAGTTCAAGGACGGTTGCCTGAGAATCAGACAGACAGCTTTCCTAGTATAAAGTTACTTGCACCTCTCGAACCAGTCTTGACTCAACCATCATCCCTATACGATCTCACTATCTACCTCAAGACTTCACAGACCATCACAATGCCCGGCGACAGACTCAACAACGGCGAATGGCTCCTTGCTGGCAACAGCCTTTGGAGTGAGGACGGCTCTGTAGAATGCCGTATGCAAGACGACGGCAAGCTCGCTGTCTACCACGGCGACTACTGCGCCTGGCAGAGCACCGATGAGCAGGATTGGAACCCTCAAGGCGTCAAGATGCAAGAAGACGGTAACCTCGTCATCTAGTAAGTACTACTCCGTACTTGACTGAGCCGTGACTGAGCCGTGACTGACCAAGACTCTCAGCGACAATTCTGGTACTGGACATGCTACTTGGCATACCAATACCTCTGCGGGCAAGGGAAATGACTCAACTTATCTCATTATTCAGAATGATGGTAACCTTGTGCTCTACAATGAGGGTGAAGTTCCCATCTGGGCGGCAGCCAGCAACAAATAGATGCAACGTCAGGCAAACAAACGGAGACTTTGGCATTTGGACTGTTACGATCTGTCTTACCTCGGAACTAGATAGCAATTCAAGGAACTCACGAGGATATGACCTCGCAATCCGAATGATGTGATACCGTATCGTAACGCCTCGGCACTTGCCTCTAACCCAAACCCTTGCTTAGCCGTGGGACTATTTAGTAGAACATGTACTACAGCATGGAGTTGGGTACTGGTTGAGTATCATAATGTGACTGTTGTGTCTATGTGACGGAACGAGAGCTAGACATCGCCTAGATAAACCACGGGACCGGAACATCGCACTCTACAAACTGCAACCAATCGACACGTTGCCCAGCTTTTCCGATGTTCCGAAGGTCCTCTTGTTTCCAGATACCCTCAATGACATCCCGTAGAACCTTTATGTTCCCAATGCTTCTTACACTGTCCATTCTGTCAAGCGTATAAAGGATGTTGACGCGGTCTTGCTCATCGACTTCACATGCGATGACAAATACTGGCCATGGACTGGTTGCGACGTCTAACCTTGCCAGTATTTCCAGAGCGTGTTGCACGTAAGTGGGGCGAGTGATATCATCATCTTCCATGATGGGATGCACGCGCTGGAGATAGAGCAGTGTCGCCAGGCGATACAACTCAGCGATAGCCAAGATGCGATGTGATCTCAGACTATCAGAACTCTCAATAGGAGCAAGTAATTGCCGGAGGTGGTAAAGCTTCGTTGCTAAATCGCACCTTTGCGATGTCGATGTGTTCATGCACCCTTGCGGGGAGGACAGGCGCATATTGTTGATCTCATCAATGATCTCAAGGACTTCAACAGAACAGCCCAAGGATCCCACGATCTGGGCTGGAGTCAGAAGAGCCGACGAGGGAACGAGGGTACTCACGAGAGACTTGTCGCCACTGAAATCTTGTAGAGCAGATGGTGAAACGGAACCAGGGCTTTCGTTGCGTCTCCATGATGGATGGTTAAAAGTAGCCAGAACATCGTGGTACAACCACCAAGTAAGTAGAAAATCCGAGCTTGGATCAGGTGTGTCAATGAAGCGCTGTCGCCTTATGATCTCCTTCGCCCCGTTCACATGAATGTGCCAGTTGTGCTCTTCTCTATCAAAGACCTGTGCATTATCAGCTAGGGCATTGAATAGGAGGTTAGGTCTCACGAACATCGTAAACGCAGAGCATCATTACTGCTGCAAGTTGAACTTGTCTAGTCGATGGGCATATTGACCTCCTACCATTACCGAGCGATATTGACAAGTTCCGGACAGCTCTTAGTTTGAAAGACATTGCATCAGCTATTGAGTTTGAGTAGTGGATCATTGCCACGGCCATCATTGCATTGAGCAACGCAAGAGCCGAAGTGTCTTGGCTCGACAATGCCATGGGGAGTAATGTCGAGCAGAAGCCGTTTTGAGCTTGGGTTGTTGATATCATGGGAGATATAATGTGTTCGTCTGCCCTCATTAGCCAAGGACCGATGGAAGTGGACATACATTACACACAGTAACCGAGAAGTATGCCATACTGATTCAGCATGTGGCCGTGAAGTGTGAGACTGCGTTGAGGTCGTTTGCAAAAAAGGTCGACAACCATTTGCCTATTACTCTTGGCAACGGCGAGATCAACATCTAACACAGATGTGTTTAAAAAGTATTTGCCATAATGAACCGCTTCTGGAAGACTTATTGGAGGCCGATGCTCAACAGGGTCACGTTTTCTCCGCCGCCCATCATGACGATCTGGCCAGAGAAGTTGAAGTCCGTAACCAAGACATTTCCTTTGTGTCCTAATGCAGTTATTACAACTTGGCGTGGCCCTATCACAGCCGATCTTGCGCCCTACACTTGTGAGCTTGGTGTTCAATATTGGATATCTCATCTTACGTTTGCATGTCCAACAGCTTTGTTTAGGCAGCATGTTAGGCTTGCTACTTGACAGTGACTGACCGAATCTGATGGCCTTGGATTGGTTTTAGAAATAGCACTAAAGGCATTCGGATGAATTGACAATTTGTTTCGGTATCTTGTCACCCCATGGCTCGATGTGTCATGAAGTCAGCGGGCTCCAGAAGATGATGTGTCAGCCGCCAATAATCACCATATTCGTCCATTGAACCCAAACAGGCAATTCGACCCAGCAATTCATTTTGCCCGATTATCTCATCGTCAGTGCAACATCGGGTCAAGATAGACTCACTATTTCAGAAACTGAGATTCTACGATGCTGGAGAAGAGAGGGACCGATGAATGGAGCTATCAAATATCTAGGAAGGGCAAAAACCACGAGCGCTACCATAAAAAGGAACCTGTGCATGATCCCAATTCTCCAGTGAGATGATAATATGATGTTTGTAATAGTTGAAAGACGAACCAGTTTGTCCAGATCTCGCCTCGTCGCTAATCCACAACGACATGTTTCGCAAGCTTCTCGTTGACCCTAAGACTCAGCAGGTCAGGCCGCGCATAATGTCCAACAACATCAATGAAAGCCTTGGGCTTATCAATATCCCTGAGGTTCACCTCAGCTGTGATGATACCCTCTTCACCGTCACCGATAGGCTCTGCAAGTGGCTTGCCGTCTGGTCCGAAGATCATAGAGAATCCACCACCCGGCTGTATCACCAGTCAGCAGTCTGTACATCTTGAGGGGGCTTTATCTTACTGTTTTGGTCACGGGATTGCCTGTAAGTCCATTTCGTTCCAAGTTCTTTTCGGTCAGTACCTGCGAGGCGACAGCGACAAAAGTTGCTCCTTCGATGGCCATGAACTGGCTCGCCCGGTAACTAGCCTCGCCAGTCTCGTGGTACAGCCAAGCGATCTTCTCCGGGTCTGGCATCTCAAACTCAGCTGGCCAACTAGCAATATGTATCTGCACACCTTGCGCATATTCGTTGTATCGAAGTAGTGGCTGGAGGTGTTCCCAGCAGTTCAATGCGCCAACCTTTCCGAACTTGGAATCAACCACGACTTTGAGCGATTCAGCCTGGCCTTCACCCCAGATTGTTCGTTCCACGTGAGTCGGCTTGATCTTTCGTCGATGATGGATGATTTCGCCATCTGTATCAATGAACGACTGTCCCATGTATAGACTTGCTCCATCTCGCTCACTGTACCCTAGAACGACGAGCATGCCTGCTTTTTTGACGGCTTGTTGAATGCGTTTCATCTGAGGCGAGTCTCTTCGCATAGAATTGGCCATGTATTCGTGGATCCAACCTCCGTTGTTGATGACTGGCGATGTCCACATTTGCCTGCATAATCTGTTATCATCATGCGTACAAGCAGGTGAAACCTTTCTGGCTGACAGATTTCGATCGTACCATGGATAACCGGGGATCCAAACTTCGGGAAACCCAAGTACTTGAACTCCATCGGCGGCAGCTTTCTCGATCAGAGCGATGGTTTTGTCAACGCTCCCTTCGAGGTCAAGCCACACGGGTTCTGCCTGTACGGCGCCAACCTTGACAGTTTGATCCATGCTAGGCAGGGTGAAAAAGGTTGTTGCTGGCTGAAGAAAGACAAGATCGAGTTGGCACGCTATGATACTGTTCCATCTTGATGTTGGAGACAAAGGAGGGCTTATTTATACGTGGCCAAAGTATGTGTAGTTCTGGACTACAGATCACATTTGACGATGATGGATGCGCCATGACGATAGTACAGATGACCCAAGGAAATAGTTTGCGATCTTGAGCACAGCAGATGTCGCGCCCTCGGCACTTTTGCTCTTAGAGGAACAAAAAGATCCACTATGGCATACATATCATGAGACCCTGGTTACTTATCGCATAATTATGGCCTATTCTGGATACGAAAGCCGGCATTCAGCCCAACGCTTGCTGCTACCCCGCATGAGCCAACGGCCATGTTCGCAAACTCTTGCCTCACGACTGTCACTAATGGGTCATCGATTGAGTCCAACGGTATGCAATAACTGATTGAGGTTCGGTTCTACAAAGGAACGCACCCAACAGCTGTGGCTGACACTATAAGTCCGAGAGGGTGTCAGAATTGCACCGTCTTCATAACACCTCGTATACCATCAAAAACATCATCTTTCTGCCCAAATACAATAGCCTTCATTTATGCCGACGGTGGCAGCAACGCATCGACATCCGGACCCCATCCATCGTCATTGGAAATAGTGATGGTATTATCCGATCCCTCCTTGAGATCAAAGAAACCCCGACTGAGTCCCGTCTGAGAAAGATGCCTGGTAGACAAGAAAGCAAGCTTCTGAGATTCGCCGTTGACATTGACAGTGGCGTATCGTGACCCAGTGTCACCATTCCGGTACTTGACGTTAATGGTAGCAACACCACCAGAGCTCTTGATGTTCTTGAAGGTAAGAGTGCCTTTCTTGTCGCCTCCGATGTAGCCGACAGCTTGACCTCCACTGCACTCGCTGCATGAGATGACTCTGGCGTCATTGCCCATCGTCGCGGTCTCACCCTCGATCTTTGTCATCTTGGTCTCGGACCAAGTTCCCTTTGAAAGGTTCGGTGACCAAGAGTCGTACCAGCTAAGTGTAACCTTGGTACCATCGACCTTGAGCGGAAGCCAGACATAGGTACTGGCCGCAAGATTGGTAGAAACCCAGCGATCACCAATGTAGATGGCATTGCCGTTACCAAGAGGCTGAATGTAGCTGACCTGGCTCTGGAAGGTCTTTGATCCGATGGGTGCAAACTCGGTCCAGTTGGACCATGGACCAGACAGTGACTTGGCGTAGCTATAGATCTATTGGGGTCTTACGTTAATATAACTTAAAGTACATCCAAGGGGCAGGAAGTTCGCTTACATTATCATTGGCATTCCATCCCGTCAGATGAGAACCAAAGATGAAGTAGTACCCGTTCTGCTTCAGCATAGCTGGAGACTCGGCAAAGTACTGCCATTCGTACGTGATCTCGGTGACGTTGAGGTAGTCATCTGACAATGCCATGATTCGTGTTCCATACTCGCGCTGTATCTTCATCAGCTCTTGTCCTCTACCAAAGTGCACAGGGAATAGCTTACGTCTTCAGTCAGGAGGTACGCGGATCCATCATCGTCCTTAAAAAGCCCCATATCGCGACTCTGCTTACCAAGAGGTCTGAAGCTTCGATGATATGTATACTTGCCGCATACACTATCACCAGTGGCGATACCGACCCTCGCATCCTTGTAGTCTGGGCTGTCGATGTGCATGTAAAGAACATACTTCTTCGTCTGGTCGTTGTAAATGACCTTGGGTCTTTCAACGATGCGGTTGGGTCCAAGGTCGCCTGCCTCGCTGGTGCGTGAGAGGAGGGCACCTCGGTATGTCCATTCGACGAGATTGGTGGAGGAGTAGCAATTGACGTTCTGGAAGTAGGTTCCGTCTGTCTTGTCCTCACCGATCATGTAGTAGGTTCCACCAACCTCACTTTAAAAGTCAGATCCTTGTCCGGCAAGATAGAGTGTGACACTTACATCAATCCGTGGCCGTGAGCCTGGACATGCTCACCGGTGTTGGTCTGGCCGAAGACTGGTCAGCAAAACAGTCATGTATCGACTGTTGGAATGACTTACAGCTGTCCATGTTGCTCCCGAGACGATATCAAGAGAAGCCTGAACCGAGCTGGCTGCAAGCACAGCGACAAGAGTTGAGAAGAAACGAGGCATCACACGATCTGGAATGGGACCCTATGTAGGACCCAGCTGCAGTTCTTGGACCTTGATCGGGATCAACTTTGAGGATTACTCGAGGTTCTTATTATACTGCTCGCTCCCGGCTCAATTCTCTTTACGGTATCCTCGGACGCCGGCGAGACATGGCCCGATGTCAAGAATCTCCCTCTTCTGGGGTAAGTCACAGTTACTTTGCATGTGGCTTCTGGCTAGCTTTACTTGGGTATTCGGTACTTGAAAACCAGTTTAAGGTTATGTGATCGACATGGCAATTTCCTCCATGTGGTTCTTTCATATGCGCACCAATTTGGAGGCCTTGATTCAGTCATAAGAACCTTCCTTTGTAAGTACTTCACATGCTCTGCCGGTCCATATGCGGGGCCGATACAAACAATGAGTGAATGGTCTGGGGTAATCGACAGGGGAATCGCAGGTGATGGACCGGGGATATCGGAGCCGGGAGAGAACAGACCCTTGTTCCAACGTTACTTGGCCAAGACATTTGCATCTCGTGGTACATGTTGCATCGGACCATCGACGGAATAATGGCATGCTGCTTTCGCCGTCTGAGCTCACGTACCATGTCGTAAATCGAGCCTGACAGATGGCATGGTTGCATTCGAGGTCCGTCGTGACCTGAATTCAATGATGCGCTCTCTACCAGGGGCTAAAAACTATGCATAGGAGGTCATCAGTATCATGGACCTTGCGAAGATGCGTGTGTGAAAGCCATCACCGTGATACAAGACACCAACTCGTTCTCATGGGAAATGTAAGCTAAGTCTTCGTCTCCCATCTTCACGATACTTCGTAGTTCCTCAAAGTATGAACGGTTTATTTGCAAGGTATAACATGTAGATCAACAATCTTTGATATCTATATGGATATCGACCTATAGCCTTTCTATACCATACAGCTCACAGCTATCTAAACATCAATAACCTTGGCCTCGTTCTGGTTCATAGTCGCCCGAACCGTCTCAGCAGTCCTAGGCTCCAGCGACTTCTTAACAGGATCAATTGCATCGAAGACCTCATTGAGCTCCTCCAGCGTTCGGTCCTTCGTCTCCGGGAAGAAGAAGAAGATAAACACAGCCTCCACCAGATCCCAGAACACGAAAACGAGATAGAAGTAGTAACCAATCTTCTCAAAAGCTGGTCCAGAAGAGTAGGCCAGAATGAGAGAAATAAAGCTGGAGGCCCAGTTGCCCAGCGCTGTTCCCTTGGCTCGCGTCGAGGTTGTGAGCGTCTCTGCGATGTACATGCTTTGCTGCGCAGTCCATCCAAGTGAAAAGACGACACCGAAGAGGAAGACAAAGGCGATGGTGGTGTTGGCTGCGTTCTTGTTATTCTTGTCGTCAACGGCCATCTTGGATGTTCCAGTGATGACAGCAAAAATGACTGAACAGCAGAGAATACTGTAAATGAGAAGAGGTCGACGCCCGACACGGTCAGTCAGACGGGCACCAATGACCGAGCCGATCAGTCCAAGAACGCTGTTGGTGGCGTTGAGGGCAAGGACAAGCTTCTCATCTTTGATGCCAGCTGTGTTCATCATAGCGACGAGATAGTAGCTTGATAGAGAGTTACCAGATGCTTGACCCATGATAGCCATTCCGAGAACACAGATGAGACGTCGCTTGTTACTGTGTGAGTTCCAAAGCTCGCGGTAGTCCCACCATCGCTTGTCTGAAGCCTCAGTTGAGATCTGGGCCATCATCTCCTTCATCTGAAGTTGAACGATAGGATGGTCCACGGAGCCTTCGCCGTGATACTTGGCAAGGATGGTGGCAGCTTCATCATGCTTGTCATTGGCGATCAGCCATCGGGGCTGTTGCTCGGTCAGTATTTTAATCGCAGGTGGTTTCAGTAAAGAAACTCACAGATTCGGGGAGGAAAAACGCAAAGCATGCGACAATGCCAGAGGTGACAAGCTGAATCCAGACTGGAACTCTCCAACCGTCATTACCTTTGATGTAAGCGCTTCCATAGGTTGCCCAGCCAGCGATGATAGCTCCAACAGGCCACATGCAGTTGTAAAGACCAGTGAGAGTACCTCTCCACTACAATCTTGTCAGTAACTCTTTCGTAGACTTGGCAATACTGCTTACCTTGGGGTGAGCAAGCTCGCTGACGTAGGTTGGGGCAGCGATACAGCAGTACGAGACACCAAAGCCGAGCAGGAATCGACCGCCCATGAACTGAGGCATAGCTTTCGCAGTGGCCCTTCGTCTTGTTAGTGTTGTTTTCAGTATTTTGAGGCAATCACTCACTGAACGCAAGTACCGATGATAATGATGAGAGCACCAGTGAACATTCCGGCGCGTCTTCCGAAACGATCGGTAGTGAAAGGGACAGTTGGGGCCGCAGCAATACTGCCGACGTTGTAGATCATGAAAACGATACCAGTAGCCGAACCATCAGACTTCCTGTATCAAAATGTCAATCGAGTGTCAGTCTTTGACTAGTGAATGGAACCTACATGTTAAAGGTTCGTTGATACGAGGTCATTCCGTTCAACCCACCCATCAAGCTGCCATCATAACCGTTGAGACAACCACAGCAGTATGCCACGAAAAGCACAGCATAGAGCTGAAACATGGACGGGGTCCATGGTGAGAACTTGTTGTTCTCAACTTCATGCGCAATCTCAGTAGCAAGTGCCTCTGGCGGCAAGTCATTGGTCAGATCTCGATGGAGTACATCGGTCTTCTCAAGCTCCATAGGAGCATCGTCACGCTTCTCAGACATGGTGTTGACCTTGTAACAATGTCTTTCGGTGAGTTTAAAAGACCCAATGGATGGGAACAAGCATCAATGAGAGACTCAGGAGAGAAAGATTGTCTCCTGGGAGGCTAAAACCTCAGTTTTATAGATGACGATCCCAGAATGGACTCATGTTTTCGCGTTAGCTGTTTCTAGCTAACCAGCCGACAAATCGGTCGGTGCCGTAGCCGACCCTCGGCGGTCGTTTGCGAAAATTAGGCATGACTCGAGAGAATTCGTGAATAAACTCATTGATAAAATCCGGGGTAGAGGCAAGGGAGGCTGCGGGGAAAGTCTCAAAGTGTTGCAAGATCGACAAAACGCTCTGAACTTGGCGGGTTTGAGTCCGGCTCCGACATCCCCGATTGAAGCGCACCAATTGATTTGGGGGCGAGTGGAGAGGAGAGTCACATGAAGTGAAGACATCCCAGCCTCTTCCGATTCGCACTCGTGCGATGCCTTTCAAGCTAAGCTACTGGACTACTGACTTGAAACGAGGTGCCTGGTCTAAAGGTCTACAGTCTATTTATCATTTAGGATGGCCAATGGAACACAAAGATTCAAGCCATTCATTCATTCATTCATTCAACTTTCCAAAAAGAGACCTGCCTTGATTGACATCTTGCGATAGAGACAAAAATGATTGACAAGACTGGGATTCGAACCCAGGCCCCTTTCGAGACTGCGAATCGTTACTAGTTCGAATCGAACCTGAACACAGCGCCTTAGACCGCTCGGCCATCTTGCCTTGTGATTGGATAATGAGGTCAATGGTTTTTGTACAACATCTACAGCTTGATCACCAGGTTATGGTCAATCAAAGCATCTCTTAGTCTAATCATTCCTCAATCATTCGTTACAACATGAGTTATCCAAGAGTCGGTAGTGGCCTCCTTTGTTGGTGAGACAAGACCAGTAAAGTTTGTGACGGCGGGCAGTCTCTCTTTCCCTTTGGCTCCAGTGTGTCTTGCTCCCTTCCGTCTCAACGTCAGCCAGGTCGGATTCCATCAACTTCATCATCAAACTTCATCAAGAGTCATCAAAACTTTTCAAAATATCATCAAGAATCATCAAAGATCACATTCACGTCTTGCGCTCAAACGAACGGACAAGAAACACTATTTTCCGAAAGGTAAGGCGCGCAATCAACTCTTCATGAAACAACCCAAATAACAAATCAGACCATGAGTGAATCAACGAAAGAGAGTACCCCGGCCGGGCGCAAGAGAATGAGCGAGCAGGAAAAGTATAAATACGCCCAGCGTCAACGGGAAATCGCCGATGGAAGACTGAGGGAACTCGAAGCCATGTGGCCGAATGGGCAATGGTACCCCGTCCAGTTCGCTCCGATAAACCCCGAATGTATAGACATCGTGAGATGTGTCCACAGTATTTCAACGCAATAGAATGACGGTAATGGTGACCTTCGGGATCTATGGGAAAGAGGGGGACTCTTGTACGATGCAGCGAGAATGACACCGAGGGGCAAGTTGACAAAAGTCGCTGCTCAAGAGGCTCTCAACAATCTAAAGGCTCGGGATAATTCTCGAGCAACCGGGAATGGATCGGCAACCAACAAATCAGCATAAATGTCAAAAAATGGGGGGACAATGCAGTGATGGAATGTGGAAATGGTTAAACATGGCGAAATGGTCGAACAGGGAGAGGGAATGGTGTTGATGAATTACTAATTACATGATTACATACAGTTCGTCACTCTTGTCTCCGAAGTGTGTCTGATGTACTACCTAGTAGCTCCCAGGAGCTGAAGCACATCGCAGTTTCTTATCTCGATACCTCGGAGTACATGTCCTATCCATCACGCCATATGTCTGAGGCTTGCTTGATCACTCCTCGTTGCTTAAGCCTACAGCATCCTCAGCGACTTCCATGTATGCACTTCTTTTCACCTACCCCATCAACAGAACTGAGCTTGCTTCGGACATGATCTTGAAGGCTGTTCTAGATGCCTTGTGTATCACACCAGTCCAGCCAACGTCGTTCAAATCACAGCTATGTTGCCTCTTCATGGCAGACACTCAATGTTCTTGCAGGCTTTCAATCACTTAATAGAAGATGTTAACTCTAAATTCTACACTTGTGAGCTGTTGAGGTCAAGTATAAATACTACACCGCGTCTTCTTCTTTTTCCCCCGAGAAGATTATTAAATTAGAAAACCTTCATCCTGTCTTACCGACGGGACAACGATGGCCGAACACCGCTCGCATCTGACAGCCAGGCCAACAACGATGCTGCTTACGAGGATTACATGACACGTCATCAGGCCCGATATCCCAACTCGGACTGGGAACCCAAGACGCGAAGGATGGTCGGGCCAATGTATAATCCAACACCATGGATTTCGCCTACGTCTCCAGTCTACCCTCCTACTCCTGCTCCCGGTCCTTGGGAAGTTGATCCTGGGGTAATTTATGAAAGACAACGTCTTGCGCAGAGACTCAACCAGTCACGTACCTCCCTAGAAGCCGAACTCCAAAGGAGACAAAACACTGATGAGAGTCCGCAGTGGGAATACGTCCCAGGTGAAGGATACAGGCAAGTTGAACCAGGTCGTCGTTCGGGAGCTAACAATCAGCACTACTCGAGAAGAGCAAACGAACAGCGTCGTGAAGACGAGCGTAGGTTTTTGAGGGATGTTCAATCTGAAGTTGCCAGGGATAATGGATATCCTCAGATCGACAGAAGAGAGCCTCCGAATACCAGAAGGGGCCCTGATACTAATTCTCGGGCCCCTGTTCCTGATATATGGACTGATGCTAGAGAAGCGCGGGAGTGGATGGGAGAGGTGCAACGGGAAGTGAACCTTCGAGGATCATATATTAGGTTCCCCAGTGGGTATACCAGTAGACGAGGTTCCTGGTCAAGATAGCCTCTCAGATATTTGGGACAATGGTAGTCGACTTCGTAGTTTAGCATATCATTTTAACAACTGATTAATTAACATCTAGTTTAACTAGCATAGAAAAAGTCTTTATTTATATTGAACTTAGAAGAGCAATACTAACTATGCCAAATCTGTCGGGGAATGAACGTATGGATGTGATCTAACAATCTTGATACAGGAGATCCAGGGTAAGTAGTTGCCCAAGAATCGCGACGTTGGAGGAATCACACCCAAACCTCAGTAAGGCAATTATTTACTGACTTGAATCCTTTTCAGCAATTTCGTAGTCTGTGATTCCAGAAGTAATACATTGAATGTAATTCGTTAGACATTCGAATCAATCCTTTTGCACATGTTAGGTCGCGCTAGGTCGCGCTGCAGCCCGACCCCACCCACCATCCACAGCACACAAGAAATTATCCACTGAAGGGCAAAATAACTTCTACCCGACGTCACATCTTCTATATAAGATCTACCACTGTCCTCGCCTGTATCATTATTACTGAGTCTTCAAAGAATTCAATATTTTCTCCTCAAGAATGATTATTTTGGCAAAATTCTGCTACTTTGCAACCATTGGCCGTCGCTGATGACTAACGGTTGGGAGATGAAGATTTGTGCCTGACGCGATCTTCTGTTTCTTCTTTCCAACTCGCAACTGTCAATCAACACAGCAAGGCTCAGAGCCGCAATCATCATTCTGCATCAAAATGAATCACTTTAGATCCTTGCTTCTGCGGCTAGCTTTTCTTCTCGCGCCTTCGTGATGGGGCAATTCGGGTTGGCCTATCCCAACGCCGATGCCTAGCCTACCAAGCAACCATGCCTGACTCTACCATCATCTTGCTCGCCTGCACCACCGTGACGCCAGTATTTCTTGTCCTCGAGCCGATGGGCCGTCATTTGCAGCCTTGAGGCCGCATCCTCCGACCGATGAAGCTCTCCCCCTCGTCGGCAATTAGCGTCGTGAGACAACCTTTGTGTCTCGGCCAGCGTCAACCATTCATTGCCTGCATGGACGACTTGCTTCCTACGCTCGAACGCACCCCGTTTCCTCGACACTACACTTCAATATGACCATTTAATATGACCATTCGATCCCGTCGGAAAGCGAGAAACTTCTGTAATACTCCAAGCGAGCCCACGACCGATCGTTGCTATTCGAGCCCTTCGAGCAGACCCCATTGTTGAATGGCGCCGCACAATCCATGTTCTTTCTTAAAATTGGCCCCGCCCATGTACTCAGAGTGACGCATGCGACCTCCATGATTTGAAGCAAGATCAAGAGCTTCTTATGCATTCCCCGACTGCAGCCCATGTCTCTTCGGCGCCCTTGCGAACAACGGAAGCTTCCTCTCTTAGGCAAAGCACCTTGAGCTGTCATCGAGACAACAATTCGATGAGAAGAGGCGATTTCAACACCGCTACGCAGTCTGGCTCTTAGCAGAGACGGGCAAGCAGCTTTCCGCATGTCAGCAGAGCGACAGTCACGGCCGCAACACGAGGTCCCAAACCGGCGAACGAGTCGAAGTTACAGACGAGAGCTGTGGTGTTTCGACCAGCACCTTGTTTTCACCGACCGAACCTGAGCCTTGACCGCCAACATCAACCAAGATGCTCTATCTCCCCCCTCGATTCCATGACAGGGCGCCCGACCCGAGCTGTTATCGTGTTGTCGCTGCGATCGATACTTGGCAGTTTAAAGTCGGATCACGACTTGACTTTATCATACGATGACTCTCGAGTCTTTCCATTGTCGTTACTGGTGCTTGTGTTTCTGCAAGCTACAGTGCAGGTACAAATTCCTGCAAGTTGTGTCTACAGCGCTGGGATCTGAGGATTTCTAAACCCTCATTGTTGCCCAGCTGAGCTGTTCCCACTCGCTGCACAGTTCATGGCTGGCTTCAATACGCGGACCAGCTCAACTCTCACGAAGTGAAAGAGACGAACCACATTCCGTTAATTTCGTTCTCGAAACCATCGCCTGCGCACTTTTGATTCATCCGGTGCTCGTCTCGTCGTGGGAGCCATCGCGAGAAGCGGCGAGCCTGCTTCAACCACGGCGCCATGCTGTCGTGATTCACTGTCCCTGAGCCGCTCGCATCGAGCAAAGCCTTCCGAGACGATTTCACCATCCTATCATGCCTCCCCCGCTACTCAGTGCGTCATTCTGACTGTGATGTCCTGTTATTAGCTTGAAATGTAAGCTAGCGATTTGTCATCGACTCTTGACCCAAGGTGCCTCAACCCTATGGGTACACATGCCATCGTGAAACTAGATGCCGAAACCTGGCTTCAGAGTGGCCATCTTTTGCGACTATGACAGGTTCGGCCGAGGGAACCAAGAGACGACGGGCATGTCGACCGCTTACCGCTGCCATTTGACTTGGGCCAAGCCAACAAAGCATCAGTGTTTGCTTGGAGCACTGGGGAGTCCCCTCCGGAATCTATTTCGCCCACATTCGAATGGTTCTTATCTTCTTCAATCAGTCTCCAGAACACCTCCAAGGTGCTCGATATTATCTCTCACTATTTTGATGGTGGATAGCACTCGGATCCTGCCACCCAGCCATGAGCGGTGCCTGCGACCAGTCCGATCTACACTGTTCTCACGCGCAGCGTTGTCACGCATGCTGGACTTACTTTGACACGTCCACGGTTCGTGCTTCCATGCTCATCATTTGCATCAACAATAGCCTGGCCTCGACGTGTCGCATTTCGGCGGGAAACCGCCATATACCCCAGCACGATCTTCATAGTGGTGTTTCGCGGCTTGCGACCAGCCGAGACAATCTCATTCATGCCGTAGGCTTTAGACACCTACGTGATTAATTGGTGTTGTTCCACAGATTGCCGCCATGGCGCTTGAGGAGCGGAGACCCCGAACAAATCTCGCGCAGTGATAGATGGTTCTGCTTGTCGCGCTGTCCACGTCGCGTTCGTCGCGTACTCAAAGAAGGGATATTTCATCCGCCACGAGGGACCTTCAGGTCTGTCTATATGCAAGCCGATCTTCTCACAACAATAAGTCCGACGGGAGAGATCGATCGGGTATTTGCATTGAAGAAGCCATAACATCTCATCAGGAACTTGTGCACATCCATCTCGTGGTCCATGACATGGACTTCACCGGATTCTTGCGCATCGATCGCCAAGGTGTGCCGGCTGTTTTGTTCAGAGTCCACACCAGAGCATTAGAGGCAGTACACTCCCGTACCCCGTCATGGACCGGCCGGATATCCTGCACGAGAACAATTGCATTCAGCTTCCATAACCTGATGGCGCGTCCTCGAAACGTTTCCCGAACCACATTCGTGCGACCGTTAGCGTGAATAGATCGACGCCTAGAGCACGCAAAGAAATAAGGTCATCATGTACAGGCTAGTGGTGGCTACGATCAGGTTGGTGGCCTGTATTCGGCCATGAGCGACCGGCTCCTGTGGTGAATGACGCAGACATGCGACCCAACGCCTCTACCACGCAACGTTCCAGAGTACATCTTGTTGCTCGATTCATTCTCGTTCCCAGGTGATGAACTTCCAAACGCGAGCATTAATTTCGCGAGATGAGGTCGCCCAGGCTTGCCGCCAGTGCTAGTTGTATTCACTTATCATTGACACGGAAGAAGCTCCTCATGACCGCCAGCAAAACATTGGACCGACTAGACAATCATGGCGACCAGAGGGCATCACAGACGCGGCACTTCGGCAGCTCGATGTGTCGCCCATACAAAAGCACAATGGCAACAGGGATAATTGTTCCTTGATTGCATTTTCCCCGATGCCAAAGTCTCTGACCATGTTGCGTCGGGTCTGACACCTCTCACCAAGTAAGGCCATGTAAGGTCTCGCCATTGCACGCCTGATCTCAACAAGAACCTATGGATGTTGGGTCTTTGATTGTCGGACTCGAGTGTCCAAGACGTGATGTTCTCCTCAATCACGAGCGCCGAACGGGAGTTCCAAATGAAGCTGTGTGCAGCCTCTGTCTGATCAGAGTGCAGGGCAACTTTGTCGCGCATTCTGTTGTGACAGCTGGTGGGTTGATTCCCGCAGCGACGCGCAACACCTTGCTGTAGCAAACTTGCGTCTTCGCCAGCTCCCCGCAAAGCGTGAGTGTTGCCCACGTTGACGTCGCTTGCTTTCAACTGAGTTTATTCAACTTCTCAACATTAAATATCAATAACTTAAACAGAGAGGCCCTATAGCCGGCCGACATTAATATCTGATTTTTGATCACTGTTACGTCGGCCCGTTATAGGGCCTCACTGTTTGAGTTGCTGATATTTGAAGTTGAAAAGCTGGATAACCTCATTTTCAACTGAAAGCAAGGGAAAGGAAACCTTGCAATCAGTGTTGAGCCCTTTTCACTTTGCCGTAGGCGTAGACCGGTTCCAGAGCTGGCCTCTCACGTCGACTCTTCCCTTTAGCACCCTTCCTCAGAAGGTAGCATCTTGGCCCCCGACCTGCGATGTTCAATGTGCCAGAGTCTGGGAAACACTGCGAGAGAGACCTGCTGGCAATACTTGCGTGCTTTCAACGCGACCTTGGAGGAGACAGGATGACGCGATCGCCACACGCGTCGCTCTCGTTGCGCCGGAAAATCAACGCAATCTTCCATCCTTTCGTGGGTCTGAGAACAAATGAGGATGATAGGGATGAAGGCCTTTGCAGACGCACTCATTGCACACGTTCAGCTATGTCCTTGTCAGCCTTCCAAGGTCAACAGACCTCACACGGGCCATCGTTATTTACAAGCACCAACTGCAATTGTTCCTGATATCAGCAACCGTCAGTACTGCCTATTCTATCTACAACGTCAAGCACTGACCCGTTAGTCCCAGTCTCCAATCACCAGACATGATGCGCATACGACGAAGGCCCGACAACGACCGACGAGTTCCGAACGATTGACGACGACCGAGCAAGCCAGCACCACCGTTGCGAGCACCCTTCACGAACGAACGAACGACGAACGACGAACGACGAGCGCGGCCGACCGAACGACAAACGACGACAACGACGAAAGACAGCGACTACTCACTAACGACCGCCTGCGATATTAATTCCGACAAATGACGATCGACTGCGATACGAACAATTTACGACATCGACTATTCTTGCGCAACTACGAACGAGAGATCTCAGATGCAGCTATTCACTGAGCACCAACGAAAGGGAAGCCAAACAGACCCCTCCTTGTGAGCGCCACCTGGCCTGTCTTTAGACTCCAACTCTCCGAATTATTACGACCGCCTCGACGCATCTTGGCACAAGCAGATCATTTGTTCCTCAAGGCAGCCACTAGGTGTAGCTTGCTCACTTACAACCTACGCTTCTGGCCATATGTTCCCAAAGTCATGGGCCTACTCCAGCCGTCGTCTCATACTTGAAGCATTTGCGTGCACACCAGCGTGTCGGATATTGGGTGCGCTCTCAACAGGATTCATCTATCGAGACACTTTCCAATTCAAAGCGCTGTCTTTCTAGACAGGGCGCTACTGACGGTGCTTATACCTGACAGAGCGTGAGTTGAACGACCATCACGTACTGCGAACTGCTTTCTGCTGGCACAAGCCTGATTTCGCCCTTCAACTGTCACCAATCTTCATCACCCGCAACATGAGCCTTGCCATTCGTCTTTTGCGTCAGTTTCCTCGCTGAGAATGCTTTACTATGCAGGTCATGCTGCGAATATATTGCAATTAAATATTGATCAAATACACTACTTGTCTTTCGTATCGAGGCCCCGAAGTGATTCCCATTCGTCTTCCGTCATTCCAAACTCGATCAGGTCGTACCACTTGCGATTCATCCAAATAGTGTCTCGTCTTCTGCCTTCCAGCCTGAAACCGATATTCTCGTAAAGATATGCTCCTCGTGGATTGTAATTGGTAGTAGTGATACCAATCGTATGCAGACCGGCGTGCCGGAAACCCCAGTCCACCATCCAGTTGATCGCTTCTCTTCCGTATCCTTTGCCTTGGTACTCTTTAATAAGAGAGATACCAATCTCAGCAGTCCGGTGATGAGCGACTGTTGGTGAGATACCTCCCCACCCGATGCACATGACGCCAATAATAGTTCGGGGCTTCTTCTCTTTGTCTTCTGTCTTCTCGTCGTCGCCATCATCTCTGAGACATATCGCGACACCGAGCAGAGAGTTGACTACAGAGTCTATATATGAGTCGACCTCCTTCGGCCCCTTTGGCAAGAGCATAGTCGGTGCTGACAGAGCCTGGATGACTGGGTCTTGAAGGATGGCGAGAGAGACCTTTTTGAGGGTTTCATCAGTTTTGTCGGCTCGGATGTACTCGAGCTGATTGGACTTGTAGGCATTGACGATGTCTTCTGTTGAGTAGTCCATGGTGATTAATGTGTCTGGAGAGTGCAATAATTGGGTAAATGCTACAGTGATTGAATGTAGCTGACTGATGAGTTATTGGTGATGCTTTTGTAGACATATGAGGTTCTCCAATGCCCAGCCATCTTTGACGCTATTCTTAAGTCGGGTGCCGGATGAGTCATTGGCCGCTTTACGTTCGCTTACTCGTATTCCCTTTTTGGCAGTTATTGAACGCGCAACGAATAGCCGTCTGTCTTTGTAAAGTATTGATCATTTCCAAAGCTTGCACTGGCTAGCTTGTGATACCACGGTCACCTTGCTCGGATTAGGGTATATCATATCACATTCTGAAAGCTTGAGTTAATTGGGATTTTTCAATGTGTTGGCTTGATATATCTCGTTGAGATGTCATAAGCTTTAACAAACAATCAATCAGTACCGTGTGCCAAAGGCGTGAGTCAAATGTTGCACATGTCGATTGAGAAAGCCCTTGTCTTGAACTCTATCTCAACCACATAGCTAATTGCTACCCATAAGTTTAAACTTCAGGCTGCTAATATATATAATAAGGACATGATATTCTTTTTCACAATATAAGCTTCTACCCTAAAAGCTTCTACGATAATTAAATAATCTTATTGCAAGCCCTTAGGGCTTTGCAAAGGGAAGAGACCAAGAGGTATATAATGCTTATATGACCTCGAGTTTGCATCTCTGGACACACCGCCAGAACTCTATCTCAAGAGTCAAAAGATATTATATCTCGAGGCTTCCATCGATCCATCGAATGTTCTGAAATCTCTGCGTATCCCGAAAACCTGACATACAATGGCTTCTTCTATCTTCCACAAATTCCCGCAGCTTCCACCTGAAATCCAACTGAAGATATGGGAAGCCTCGATTCGCCCACCGCAAGCCATCCCTGGCGGTCTGCACTATATTGCGCTTGACCACATGGGAAACACTGTCCCATTGCATAATACGTGGATGGACGAACCCGAAAGACGAAAGTCAGCTTACCAATTGGAAGAAGGTCTCTTAACAGCGTGCTGGGACTCCCGAACGGTTGTTTTGAAGCACAGACTTGAGCAAGACCACTTCCTTAGCCAACACGAGCTCAGACCCATCAGTCTGCACAAAGCCTTGGAGTCCCAAACATGGTATCCGGGAAGAAGGACTCTATTGACTTTCTTGCCTGCTTCAGAGACAGAAAAGCCAATAGTGGTGAAGACGAAAGATGATGATCAGTCACAGGGACTAGTCATCAGCCCCTCTCGAGACCTATTCTGTATCGCCTTGAATAGATCCGGGCGATCTGTTGCCCGCGGGCAAAGCTACCCACTCCTAGCTTACGAAAGGCTTGCCTTCTTGGAACATTGAGCTATCAAACCACGAAGGCTACTACCCAATCAAAGAATTTACCGCTTCGCTAGCCTTCTTGATGAGATTGGTGATTCAAGTTGCACATACCAAGCATTTCAGAACGCCTATCATCAGACTCATCGACAGGAATGCTCGATGGATAAACGACGACAGTACACAGGACACAATTGAGACCTTTTACGACTGCGATGACGAGTATATCGAAATTAGCATGAAGACTGGCTCTTCTTCTGCACGGATCATCCAGCATAGCCCCGTTCTGAAGCTCCTCGACCATATGGGCCGGCTGCTGGAGGCCAACTTTGAGATCCTCCAGCACATAGGCCCCCGCGGCTTCCTGAATCTGCCAGAATTCGTCATAAGAGACTTTGTCTCTATCATCGCCCTGCGACGCAATCAAGCGGGAACTCGAACCTAGTGGAACGTCAGGAGGACTGCGATTCGGAGAGCGTCTGTGATGTCTTCGGTCACTCGGTCAACATTTTTCAATATACAGAAAGGGTACAACATTGGAAAACTGATTCTGCTACTGCGAGTGAGGTGGCGCGCACCAAAGTTCCGAATGAAATGAAGGCCAGTTTACAATTGCTTCGAGCCACGTCTTCTTCGCCAACAGGGGAACTGGGAGTTCGAAACTTGTCAAATAAGCATTGTTCTACCTACAATATTGCAGAATGTAGCTTAAATATTCTAGTTGGTTAGGGTAATCGAGCGTGAATAGAGCAACGCAAAGCGTGAGTGTTGTAAAACTTTACGAGACGCTCGTGGGTTGAAAGTGAAAGAGACTGAATGGGATACCCGGAACATAGTTCAAGATCAATGAGTATCAAACATGTACCCAAGAAAGTCTTTTTTTTTTTTTTTTTTTTTTTTTTTTGGAAAACAGTAGATTTCTCTAATATATTCTCATATACTTTCACGATAGGGTTTGGCATAACTGATGTGTTAGTTATGGATTGGATAGCTGGGCAATTGGTAACCTAACTTGAAACATACTTTCGACTTGATTAGGGAGATCTGGGTGTGGCTTTATATGAAGGTTTACAAAAGCAACAGAGGAAAGGAATACTTGAAGAAGACAGAGGTGCCATTTCAATGCCCTCCCCTCTATTCCAACTTCAGCTTCAGCTCTCCAACCTTGACATATCTAGACAGACAAGTTTCTCATAATGGCCCTCTCAGCCTTTCACCTCTTCCCTTAGCTCCCATGTTAGCTCCGACTACAAATCTGGGAGTCAGCAATACGAAAAAAGCCTACCATAAAACCCAACTCTTCAAGGTGGGACCATGATCCTTTTGACCCAGCAAACTGGATGCCAGAAATTCCCGAAAAGACCGCCCATGGGATACACTACGTCAGGCTTGATCATAAAGGCGACTGTATCCCCCTAGACTGCAATTGGAAGAAACCTCACCCTGTCAACAGATCCGCCTACCTCTGGCATGCTGGCCTTTGGATGGCCTGCAGGGAGTCTCGTGAGGTGATGCAGAAACACTGGTTTGGCCACCCCTGTTACACACAAGAAGGTGTGGACGAGCAGGTGAACGGTGGTCTTAGGAGATGGTTTTATCGCAATGGAGAGGGAGTAGATGTGATTTGGGTTCATTGGGCTCGAGACCAAGATTATGAGCCCTGGCTCATGGCTACATCCCCAGGGGATATGTTTTGCATTTTTCCGGCCAGTTACAAACCTCTCGCAGTTCTCCAGTTCTCCGTATCTCACGGAGACATTGGCGACTACGCTGTCGAGTTTGACCCGGCCCGGACCTCTGAACTGGCAGGTCTCGACAAATATCGGCCAATCTATCGCTTACTACCCACTTTGAAATTCGCCATCAGTATCTTTTGCGAAATAGCAACTATGGATATTCGTCTGCCGTCGGCCATCCATATCATTGACCGATATTCTGGCTGGAAGAGAGTCAGCCCTGAAAATTCCCCGGTGTTTTATGATCGCGAGCACGAATATGTTCCTATCTACCCGAGCGATCCTCTTGCTTCAAATCGTATTGTACGCCATGCACCTATTCTCAGGTTCTTGGACCAGGTTGATCGACTACTCAAGGACACGTTGACCTATAAGCGCAAGCACTCCCCTTTTGCTTTGGGTGATTGCAGTGTTCTGCCCGAGGGACTATCTGTTCGGAAGCTGGTACGTGTCATGGTCAGGCGTGATAACGAGGTGGTACTTGAGGCCACAAAAAGCCATGCTATGAGGCCCAAGGTGAAACACCCAGCCTCAGTAGCCTACTCAAATGAGCGAGCTGTAAGGCAGAAGCCGGCTGTACGATGGAGATGGTAGTTCATATTGGGGGTAGTGCTTTGCACTGGTTTTGCACCATGGGCTCAAAGCGGCAGGATTCTGCATGGATTTCGCGGAGAAGTTGCCTCTATGGGACATGTGATGGAGACAAAATTTGGGCATTAAAATAGAGTCCATGTACGACTGAACAGCTGAAGAGGGAAATGCCGACTGGATAAAAGCCAGAATGTGTTCAGCGCTGCAAGCTGCTTGAGCGTTGAAAATCCTGAAGATTTAGGTGAAGTCTGCATGTAATGGGTGTCTAGTTCTTCTGGCTCTTGGTTAATTATCCTTTGGTTTATAGTTCAAGTGGCTAGGCTGCCATGAAAAGGCGGACAGCCAATGCCAATCATCACATCCATCTTTGGGATAAGGTTTAAGAGGAAACTGAGATATGCATCGCCTGCCCGCCCCTCCAATCATTCGCAGCCTCCAAGAATAGCTTTTCTGAGATACTGACTCACCCCGGCGAGTCTCTTATATTAGACATCAGCCCCGTCATTGACTGTAGATTTGCTCTTCTCGTCCTATTTCTTTCCTTGTTATCCAACCGTCAACCGAACACTTGAGCCGCTGGTCATAGCTGACACCTCGACCTCGCTATGGATACCTCCACATTTCACCCCTTTCCCCAACTACCTTTCGAGGTGCGCGAGCAAATCTGGCAAAATGCCTGCTTTCAGCACAGACGTAGATGAAGAAGCATCCAATACATAAAGATGGACAAAAAGAGGAACCTCGGACGTCTGGACTGCAATTGGGACACCTGCAGTCCAAGGAATAGATCTGTCTACCTATGGCACGCAGGACTCTGGACAGCCTGTCGGGAGTCTTATACCGTCGTATCAAAGTATTGGAAAGAATACGGCTGGCCTGACGTACCTGCTCAGATGCAAGATCGCAACCGCGGCGGAAGAAATTGGTTCATGTTTGAGGAATTATTTGTTGTGTCACAAATTGCTCATATGAGAAGCGATTATATGCCTCTGCGCCAAATTATCGACAACAACATGGAAATATAATGCATCACCGCAGACTCATGGGCGACTCTCGTAAAGAACTGGAAACCGATCTCCGTTCTTGCCGAAAATCCTCAAGGCCAGAGAAAACTACAAAAGTTTCGGAAGCTTGCTGTCAAATTCGATCCCTCCTGGAACGACGAACTGGCTATAGCCACCCGCAATACCCGCATTAGTCAATTTTCCCCTGCGCTCGCGTTTATGATCAGAGTGCTTCTCGATGTGGCATATCAACGTGTCGACGGGCCAAAGCTTATGGTGATCGACGATGTCTCGCAGTGGGCGACACTTAGGCGTCGAGGGAACCCCTTAAGAGCCGCTGACTGCGGTCACGGGTATGTCGAGGCGCAACACACTTTCTGCGGTGGTAATGAGGTCCTCGTTACGGGCAGCCCTATGGATATCTTCATAGATCACCTCGACTTTTTGTTCATACCCAAGCTACAAAGAATTTGCAATACGGATAGCTGGTCGTCGCTTTGGAGTTCCGGCTTTTTCGTTCATATTTTGGGGTGGGACAACCAAGTTCCAGTGAACCACAACAGCGGCACCTATCCCTATCGAAGCTCATGGCGAACCCCAGAGATACTCTGGTGTGACAGTACTAGCCTAAGCGATAAACAACACCCGAGCAAGGTACTCTGGATTACTTGCTTGTGATACTGTGAAAAAGATATCACGTTCCAACCCTCTGTATTAGCAGCCTGAAGTTTGACCTTATGGTCAGCAAGTAGTTCCATAGTTGCTTGCGATGTTTATTTGACGTGAGATCATTTGACGATCGTAGCGTTGACGGGAATGAGCTACTGGAAGAAGACTTTATGATTCACTAGCAACAGATGCACTATTTGCTCAGTTTGCACACTGAGTGGAGGCGGATCGATAACTTGGACTTTCGACTCTTGAGAACTTCTGCAGAAAACAACTTATATCTAACAGTAGGCCCGCTTCCGATCAAGCTTTGCATCCCTTACCTCCGTAGTAAGAGCAATTTTTCCAACGTCCATCTCAGGCTGAACATCCTGTATTTGAACCCTTATTTTCTTTGTTATTAGAAGTCGATCTCCTGCACTGACGCCACTTCCCGCGTAGAGAGACTCGTCAGTAATCCTTATGTAAGGAGAGTCTCGCGTCAGCCCATCAATGCTTTCAAGGAAGTCAGGAGCCACAATTATATGGCGAATGACAATATTGGCTATAGTACAAGCCAGAAGTATAAGTGTTGATATCACAGAAACGCAGAACCACGCAACATTCATAGTATACTGCTTCTCGGTGAATTCGGTCCAGGTTGCAGTGGTGTTGTGCCACATGTCGTTACGTCCAGAAAGGGTAGTTCCATCAGCGCCCGTAAGAACGGTGCTATTGTATGTTGCCATCAAGAACGTGTTTAATGCTGTTGAAAGCCTACCCTCGAAGCGAGTTCGGGATATGTTTGTGAAACAGCCCGCGAAATACGGCCATACGGGATCATCTATGTCGCTGTACATTGTCAGAGGATCATAGATAAACCTCTCGAGATCGCTTGGTCTCAGCATAGTATATGATGCCATTGTAAATGGAATTTCGAACAGAATTGCTTGCGCCAGCGACGCGACTGAGAGGTCCGTTAAATTTGAAGAGAATTTTGGGTCTTTCGTCCTGCGGATCTGCGTCGTTTGACATTCCAAATCTCCAAAGTCGCCCGATCTCGTGCAGTTTACAGTAGCGTCAACATTTGAGGTACCAACGCTGCACACGCGAAGGATGGGGGTTTCCTGTCCCGCACCCTCCGGACAGGTGCCACCGACAACCATCTGTAGGTATGATGCGGGCTTGAGGGGGTTTCGAACAGGGTATATATGATACGAGGTGAGGTTGTCATTAACAAGGTCCAACCACATGTTTGGGTGGCTCCCAAGGTTACTATAGCTATTCATCGGGGATTGCTGATCAGACAGCGACCGGTAAGATGTTGTATTCATCCTATGCCACAGGACCTTTGATCTTTTTTCAGAGTCTTTAGGCGGTAGCCAAGAGCGACCATCAAACTCTTCGCCGCACTTGAGGATATGATAACGCGACTGCAACACCATACTGGAATTGCCTTCCCGAGGAAAAGATCCCCCGCGAATGGGAACACCCATGAAGGAAGAGTATGGTACAATATCATTTGACGGTACCAGTGTCCATGCCGTTGGATTTTCATCGTTGTAGTCTGGGAGATACTCCATAAATGGAATGCGGACATTCCGCCATTGATCCTGTTGGCCCAGGCGAACTGCCTGAGGGGTCCCTCCCAGCTTTTTGACAACATTTTCGAACTGGGGGCTTGAGCTGTTGGCATGTGAGAGCAGTATGTCAGATGCAGAGAATGCAGCGAGAACCGTCCTTCGAAATGCGCCTACCAACGACATTGTCCCGGTACCACCATAAAGCGCGTTCAAATCCCCTTGAAGGTTGGTTGATGAATAATAGGTGGTGGCCAGCAGCGGTGTTTGTGAGAAGTAATGCATGGCAGGGATGTTGGTAGTCTGCGAGTTTGCACGCGAGCCGAGCGATCGAACAACTGCCTGTCCGCCCACAGGGCTTAAGCACCATAATGCTGCGACGCCGAGTGTCCATATGCGAATAAGCCTCAGGGTGAAGAGATTTTTGAACGTTGCTACTGTCGTTTGGCCAGTCAAGAGGAACTCCAATGATCCAAGAGTTGATCCTCGTTCAGCGCTAAACAAAGCAAGAGTCTTGAGAAATGGCCCGATAACCGCTGCGAATGAGATAGGCCAAAGAGTTGCAGCCAGTTGTAAGGCCTCAAGCGTATTCTCGCCAAAGGAGCTTTTCTTCTTGTTATGTAGTGACGCTACAATTCCAAGAAGAACTGGGTTGCGGTTAGTGGCATTGCTTGGGTCACGAATCCGGAGCCTGTATCCTACCAATGTATGTAAGAGGAACTACCAGAAGCAGTACAGATGTGCCAATCCTCGATAACCAAGGAGGGGAGGACTGTCCAAGTGGTAGATGAGCTTTCCGGGTACCGCCAACGCCCGCCCCAATGGCTTCTTCTGTCGCTGTGTATACCTCCATCAATGTAGTCTTTTCGGTAATGTCTGGTCTTGTTTCGGCATCTCTCTCCGCGACTAAATTGATATTCACCAGCTGTGCGTTGCCTGTAGTAATTGGAGGGGCCATAATGAGTGATGTCTTGGGGATAGATTTGGGGTTGTAGAATTTAAGAAGAAAGAGGGGGAACGAAGTCCTGTCAACCAGGGTATATAGTACGGTTAAAACTGAAACAGTCCTTAATTACATTTTGCTGTTGGCTGCACAGCTCATGCATGCCAAGACTGTTGGTTGGTCTTTTCGCCCGTGCAACCTGATATTAACCCAACATGGTCCCTGTAGCACACCCGGATCGTATGATTAGCTTGCTGACATTTAATAAATGTACTTAGGATGGCTAAAAGCAGACTACGTCAATTAACAAATCAGCTACACTTTAGAATGTTTATCGATATTTCTTAACCCTCAAAACTGTCGCCCATGATTCCCCAAACTTAGAGGTTCAATATAATGTATATACTTATTAAGTAATAGGACTCGCAATGCAGGATTGCCAATGAGCGGTTATGAAGAAGGCAAGAGAGCAACAGATCATGAGACGTGAATCTCGATCATGTTCTCACTTAACATGTCGTTTGGAGTTGCAGGAATCAATAGGTTCTGATCCCTCGCGATCTGTTTATTGATGCGGATACGTACAAGGTGAAACAGAACAAGACGACGGTGGAGAAGCCCAGGGCCATGAATATGGTATGCTCGACAAGGTGGGTGAACCTTCCACCGCCCACATATACTCTGTCTGATCCCATGCGAGTATATCGCCCTATATTCGACCGTATCGCTGACACTATTCTGGGATGGCAACTTTCCTTCTGGGATAGCGAGCTTCTTGGCGACCTGGGGACGAAACGCGCTGGTTGATGGAGATGCTTGTGCTCGGCCTTCGGCATGATGGAGGCGTACCAGCTGAATGACAAGCAAACTCGCTTCTCCCACGGATACGCCACTTGCGAGTCTCATCTGCGTGGGGGGAGACTGAGCTGAACGATGAGGCATGCAGAAGAACGAGCTCTCGGCGTATAGCCTTTGTAGTCTCGCGAACGCGTCTTGGATAAAACTTGGATATATCTGAATGCTTCATGTGTCAGTGGATGAGTTCTTTAGAGGTGGCAGGGTTGACCCAGTTGGCAACTCAGTGAAGAGACCAAACTGCTGGACCAAGAGCGTAAGCCTCTCTCGCCAAATCCACCTTCAACACTTGACCTGTCATTGATTTTGAACATCATTGGGCCTCACTAGATTCAACTAGAAGGTCCATCGTGAGCGTGCAAGATCGAGTCTCTGATGTGATATCTCAGCACCTCGATCACGTCGTAGGAGTTGCCGTTCTCTACAATTGTCTGATTAGAACCCAGCTTCGGAGGCCACCCGCTGTGGGCTTGTGGAATCGGGAAGAGACTGGTAAGTTGAAGGTGTGGCAAGCTTGGCCAACTTCTTGGGTCGACTCAGGGGAGCGTTCCTGCTCACTTTCTAAGCGCCTGGCATCCTGCTGCTGGTGTTGACTGCGGCCTTGCCACTGTCTCAGACGTCTTGTCAAAAAGATTAGTCCTTACTGAAATTTAAATTCCTTCAGATTAAACAAGTAGATTCATGAGTTTCTATACCTTTCTTCTGACTGACAAGATGGACCCATCAGATTTTGAGCTTGTGACTTAGGCAACAAAAAGTCACATATGTCTGCGTGACACAAAGTTTCACCAGCCAAGAATCATTCTGATGAGTCATAATAACCAAGGTTTCTTGTTGCACATAAATAAAGCCGCCTCCCCTCCACTAAGTCCAGCACAAACATCTTCCACTTTCCGATCATCTTCCCGTATTTCACGCAACAACGCCACAACCCATTTACTCCACGATGAGTGACGCCACTTTCCACCCATTTCCAAGACTGCCTTTCGAAATCCGGCAACAGATCTGGGAAGATGCATGTTTTGATTGGCGCGGTGACTGTCTCGGTCTGCGTTATATCAAGTTGAATGAGAAACGACAACTTGCCCCCTTGAACTTCGATTGGAAAACCACTAGTCCTCGAAACAGATCTGCATATCTGTGGCACGCGGGTCTCTGGATGACCTGTAAAGAGTCTCGAGATATTGCTGCGAAGCATTGGCGTAAGCAGGGTTGGCCAAATGTCCAAGAAAACACCAAAGACAAAGATCTTGGAGATGCTATCTGGTCTATGACGGAAAGCTATCTACCTAGAGCAGGAGTGATACATAGAAAAGGCGACTACGAACCCTGGCATCAAGTAGTTGATCCATGGCAAGATATATTCTGCATCACACCTGATTCATGGGAACTACTAGTCAGAGACTGGAAACCTATTCAAATCGCAGTTGCGGATGAACGGAGTCGCAACTGCACAGAACGCCTACTTAATATTGCTGTTGAGTTTGACCCCTCGTGGACCCTTGTGCTTGCCAAGCTCAGTCCAGATCATAGCATCACGGACTATCTCCCACCTCTGGCTTTTTTGATCAGAATTCTTTTGGACCTTGCCGATAGAAGGAACGCCCTTGGTATTGGTATAGTCGGATTGATCGAAAGGAACGTTGCACGGGGTGCCGGCATTCCTGCTCAACTTTCTGAGCGGATTTTTCTCGATTGCGATCACGAATATGGACATGTTTCGTACCTAATGCCTACATGTAACCACCCTATTTCTGACTTTCTACACCAACTCGACAGGGTGTTAGGCAAGAAGTTGACCAAAATTCGATACGGCCGAGATCCCTGGATTAAGTACCGTCACCTCTCTCCTAAAGACCTAATGCGCATTGTTGTGAGGCGGGACAATCAAGGCTTTTGATGGTAATGCTCTTACCATCCACACAGCAAAGCAGGCAGAGGAACTCTTCCGTATACCCAGCCTGGTTGTTAGATGAGCAAGACCTAATTTTGAGAAACTTCAGGCCTAAACCTATCTAAAGTCTTCCCTAAGTTTAGAAGACCTTCATCATAACCTTCCCATGGATGGAGTGGTTGACATGGCGGGAAAAACAGCCCGTTTCTTGTCCCGCACTGGGTGCCCTTCGCTGCCCGTCGGCAAGTCCATCCCGTTCCTGCAGGTGCTCCATCGTCGACCCAAACAAGCCTCCACTGCCTTCCACTGCCTGCATCATGAGTCCATTTCTCTTCTTCATCCACGCTCGACTTTCTTTTTGACCATCAACAACATTCCTCCACAACGTCCCTCATCAAAACACCATTTACAAGCATCTCCGAAGCCCAAAAACAATACAGCCGAGCGCCGAGGCCTATCACGCGCCTCACCACAGTTCCCAAGAGCAAGGTGAACATCTTTGCGCCTTCACGTGCGCGCGCGTTACAAGCGCTGAGCTGAGATTTTCTCTGCCGCAGTCCACGCAAGGAGCGATGACCACAAAAACGTGGGAGGCCCATCGGAACCCTGTGGTAAGTTGGCCCATTCCCATGATCGAAATAAGATCATTGTCAAGTTGATGCTGAACTGATTGCTGACCTCTCGCCTCTTCACAGCCTTCAACTGTCAAACGTATGTATCACATCAGTCTTGGGATGGTCAACTGCTGACCTTGTTGTTTTTGTTGCCGCAGACCAACTCAAACTTTTTCGTCGTAAGTATTCCCTCTTTCACCTGCATCACTTCCCCCGAAGTCTGTGTTTGAGAGGGATGCTGACATGTTTGCGTTTGTAGAAAACGATTCACAATGCCCCCGCGTGTAAGTTTTTCTTGATAATCTATAAATACAAACGATGCTAACATTCCTAGAAGACCATCAAACACTATCTCAACACTGTAAGTATCCATCCATAGTATATCAGCACTCCCCCCTACCGACCGGCCAGCGAACAAACGACCAATGACACGCAACATAATCCGGTTCCTTCGCCACCACCCCATTTGAGATACTTTCTCAAAGTCCAACGACAGACAAAACCCGACAGGTCATTGGGCTGGCCGTCTCTCTCAAAGCGCTCTCTAGCACCACGCTTGGCTTGCTTGAACTATGCCCGACCAAACATAGTGAACAAGGGGGGGTCTTTACAGAAATAGATGGGGGCCTTACAAAAGGGTATTAACAAGTTTATCAGGAGACAAACGACTACCAACCCTCCCAGGGTAGCGGCTTCGGCCGCGGTCGTGGTGGCGCCTCGAGTGGCCCTTCAGGGCAGTAGCAGCAGCAACAGACCACTCCAGCGGCAAAGGTACTTTATGCTTCTAATGTCCGAACACCCCCTGGTTTATGCTAATGAGTAGAAAGTCCCAACCAACAGTGTGCTTCCCTGCCGCGAGCCTAATCCTTGCAAAGCTTGACTAAGGAGAGCCTAAACTTTGCAAGATTAGGCCTAAAGTTACACCTAGTTCCGTCTGAACTTAGGATGTCATGGTCAAGTCATTGATGACCAATGGCCAGTGTGGACAGAAATGTGGACAACCAAACAGTCTATCTCCATCGCCTAATACATGGGGCAGACGAATGAATAACTCGAATTTCCGTTACGGAGACGGCAGACTCCTCTCCAAACTGTCGCCAAATCTTTGTCGGGCATTTTGGAATGGCAGACAATGGACATCAAAACAGTCCCATTTCAATAACAAAATGGTAGGTTCACACTGAGCTCCACGGAAAATAGTCGATGGATGATACTGATCAATTGTTTGCGACCGTAGAAGTTCGAGAACGCCTACAAAGTAAGTCAATACTATTGTCCTGGGTAGAGCTTTACTGACCATTCATGTAGAAAGCGATCGACAAGCTGGCAGTTAGCATAAGCAATATTAGAGTGTTAAAGCGCTCAACGCAAAGCTGCACCAAACTGGGAAGTGGGAGAATAAGAAAGTATTGTTGGCCTGTTGGTAGGACCGAAAAATGCACGAGGCCCCGGGAGAATGATGTTGGTATTAGTATCAGCCTCGCCTCTCAAAGTTCTCAAGCTGGTCATATATTCACTTCAGAATGTGAAAGCTTTTGTTCAATCCTCCCCAATTCTTCTCTTCTCCTGTGTTATGCCGTGAAAGGACCAGATCTTGGCTTGCGCACCTGCCGCTTCAACCTGGGCCATGCATAAGCTCTTCCCGTGGTATCATCTCTGCCATTTGCCTTGTTCAAACCATCATCCCAAACTCACACTTTGCACACAAACAGGTTCAAAATCGCCGCTCGCGACAAAGATAACAGTCTTGCATGTCCAACGACGACACATCCAACCATCGCGGCCAGCATTTACATTTCTTTTCCCCCATCACAAAACACAACGCAGTAACGAATCCCTGACCTGGCGCCTTGAAGTAGGACAGTCTCTCGACACGTCGGTCGGATTCCAATCTTCAGCCTCATCCATCCCAAAACGACCGCCTTTCAGCAATGCCGAGGCTGGTATATCGAATCAGATCTCCGATAGTCTAAAATCCATCCGATCAAAAGCGAAACACTGATTCCCAATATGGGCTCTTGTCGTGCTCACATGACTTTGTCTCCAAGTCCTACAGTATTGAGCGATGTGTCAAGGCATCATTACGTCAAAATTTAGTCCCGAATCTGTCAGATGAGGATGCAATCCCACGGAGCAACAAACTAATAGTTCTGCAGGCTTGATGTTATCGGGTTTCTTGACTATCTGATCGTCCGCTGAGCCCAGTCAGAGACATTTTATCGAGATGATAGTCCTCCGATTTCGACGGCAGAAAGCTCCCAAGTCACAACACAGCTGAGCATTCGTTTTACCCCGAGAAATGAAAGTCTCTTGCTCACTTGGGCGATCAATCTCGTTGCAGCAATACACAACACCATGCGATCCTGATCCTTCAGCCCTAAGTTCTGTGTGGTGATTATAAGCTCTTAGCGCCCCACGTCTTCCGGCTCGGCCTATCATCATGATCGTCCATAGGAGACATCCCTCTCGTTATCATGGTCTCACTCGGTCGTTGGAGCATGCAGTTGCCGAGTCCTTGAACATGGCTACCTGCGTTCCCGAAAACAAATCTGCTGGCTACTGAGTGACAAACATTTTCCAGAACGGGCACCAGAATATCACATTCTTGTTTCATCCTTCTCTGGCACTTCTTCCTGTGAAAACCCCGCATTTGTTCCAGAAGCCGACCTGCACTAAACAGCATCAAGAGCTGGGGTGGGGGGGCCACTCGCTGTCAGACGTCATGTTCAAGGTGGATGCCTAATGTGGGTGTGTTCGAGGGAGAGTCAGCGAAGTGGAGGAGGCGGTTGGGGCAGTCTTCCCAAAAAGGCGTCACTATTACTGCACGACTGTTCATCACTCCTGACACTTCTCTGGCCTCCCCATTGGTTGTGATCAAACTATCATATGGTACAGCGAGTGAGAAGGTATCGCGCAAGCATGGACAAGGAAGTCAGCTGGCTGCCAAGTTCACGAACAGATTCTCAGTATACCCTCATGCCTGGGTCCTCTAGCATTATGGGCTGCCACTGTTGGACAATATTCGACGATGATGCAGTTTATTCTGGGTCAAATACTGAATCACTTGATAGTTCGACAACAATGTCGCTCAGCTTCAGCTCAAGTCCGCATTACCCAGTTCTGGGAAATGACGGTATTCACGAATGCGTCACAAGAGGGGCTCACATTGGCTTCCTGCTGTCCTTGCCTACACTGGCAACTGATGCTCAATTTGTTCCAGAGTCCATTCTTTCTCTCAGTGGAAGCAAAGCGCATATTACCAAAGTCGGCACCCTTTTGGCCCATCACTTAGTGCTCAGTATGTTCCAAGACAGAGCTTCGCAAACAGGCCAAACAGCTCATGTCCTGCAGTACAAGAAACGCGCTTCCGCCATATTGGTGGTACATGGGTACGACAATTGTCATATGGTACTTCCACTCTCATGGACCTGATACGTAACACTTCTCTCATCCTCCCATACAGCTTGTGCAATTTTGCTTCCGGCTCAAGTCTCGTTGTGGTTGAGGAATTGCCAACCGCTGTATCTTTCTCCTATTCGTCCTGATCGTGCCAATGGTCGAGCTGCATTAGGAGCCCAAAAATGTAACCCGGAACAAAGCTCGAGGTCGAGCCCTTCGCATGGTGCTAGAACTGCGCGTAAGTGAGTTCCTTCCATCAGGCTACTATTCATCTTGCTAACGATGCTAGCAACTCGAACTGCACGGACGGCATGAACGGCATGGGTAGCTTTCAGGGCATGGACATAAATGGCATGAGTGGACTTGGAAGTGATTTGGCCAAGGCTCGAATAACATGGAGCCATAAGAGTCCTATCTAGAGACTACCTTCAGGCCTGTAATTGAATCGGATTCGTCAGTTGGAGTTTCTTGGTCGCGACCTTTTGTGCGTGGGCGAATCTCAGCTGCCACTGGGATCTCCTCGTACCACCCCCGTGACGCCAATATTGAACTTGACATACTTGTCTGGTGGTGACGGTCTTTGGTGTTTAATCGCAATACGCCATGGGCCGATCTTTCTAGTTACAAAGACCTCAATTTCTTTATTCCTACCTGTCTGCATGATCAGTGAGGATGAATGCCTTTATTGTCAAGATGGGATCCCAAGATGGAGATGTCATGACGAAGTTGCAAATCCGTCGCATCATTAGACCTAAGCACAAGTGTGCAATGATCACCACGTGGCGTTCCCTGCTCCATTGCAGAAACTTAGTTCTGGTTCTTAAGAATAAATTACCTTATAGCTTTCAGAGAAGCAAACTTTATCTCACAAGGCTCCGAGGCAGGCACATAGTTCTAAAAGTTACTTCGAGGCTCAAAGCTTATGCTGAGCCCTTCACTGAAGATGAGCGACGTTGCAACTGTTATATAAAGCTTGAATGTCGCCATTTGTTCATCCCATATTTCTTTCCCATTTAATTTTGTAAACTAAACAAGTTTATTTCTACCGCATCCGCAACAACAAGCTGTTGATTCCAAAGTCCTTCACAGACAGCAAAAATGTCCAACGGTCATCATTCAGAACAGCCTGGTGTCATCATGGGTGGCGAGGATACTGTCGCAACTTATGATGACGAACATCTAGATCATTCCGCACCTGAAAAGGAGAGCCGAGATAAAATAATCTCGGCAGAAATGCTAGGCCTGATTGACCAATTCGTCAACCTCTGGGCAACCTCAGCGAATCATCAAGAACGCCTATCCAAGCCTCCCAACGCTCAAGATAGGATATTTAGAAATCGTATTTCTCACTACCCGCGTCATATTGCAGAATCTTCTCTCCGGAGACAAGAGCCATGCTCACCCATGACATGTTGTCCACGTCACGCTACAGGTGCCGCAGCTGTACGGCGTTATCACCGCTCAGTTTCGGAGAATAGACATCACGTGTCCACTCCAGCAGGTGTGATCTGTAGAAGTGTCACATGGTCAGGGCGTTCAAAGAGGGGTGGTCAAGCCTATGCAAGGCTACGGGACTGCTGCCATGATGTTCTACCAACAATACCCGAGGAAACTATCTCACCGCCAAGCTGAGGGATCCTTGCGCTGTGTCCATGCCCCGACTTCCGAGAATAACCCACGATAATTCAGGGGTGATTTCAGATCCAAGCAATGATTGGCGTGACTATGAGATGCATTGAGATATCTGCATGCCCCGTGGAGTAGCCGTCTACTGTTTATCTTCCTCTTCTCGATGGGATTTATCCTGAAACTGATGTATTTGAAAACGAATTTATCATCTACAGGTAAGTGTCCTATCTTCGAGGATCTCCGTAACCAACACTCACCAATTTCGCAGGCATAGATGGCTCAGGAGGTCTATCCCTCATTTCGGCCAACAAGTTTGCCTTTGGCATCTCGCCTTGCATCGATGTTGTCGAGACTCGTGGTTTTAGCCTAACATGACCTGCTTGGTAGGAGTCGGAAACATATTGAGTTCAGACAGTCTTGGGTTTGAAGGGATCCCAAGAGATCGAGAAACTACTACTCGGTCACAATACGTTGCCGGCTGGCCCATCTAGTGGAATGACCCAAAAGTTCGAGCAGCCAAGAAGTTATCATGATGAGTCTAGCAAGATTTTGGCTATGCCAGAATTCATAGAATTAAAGACAGTTTGTGACGTGCACCAGACAGGCTCCGGTGGTTATACCATAGTAGCACCAGAGCAGCCTCTAGATCCACCCGAATATACCCTTTTCAGTCCACATCTTGGCCACAGCAGCAAGACATCCCCCAAACAGACACATAACACCACTGAAAACGGACACTTGAAAGAATCCACCGTATTTGCTCACAAGAACACCATTCACAGGCGGGCCGATCAGAGCTGCAAAGGAGCTAACGGCCAGTCCCATTCCCATGTACGTTCCATTGTTTCGAGGATCCTTTGACACAAGTGTGAAGGCTGCAGAAACACCCGAGATGATTGTTCCAGAACAAAAGCCAAACACCAGAGCATAAACCACCAAGGCTGCAGTGGTCTTTGCTTCGTTCATGCAGAGAATCACGACCCCTGTGCATAGCCCACCAAGAGAATAAACATTCAGTCGACCGTACTTATCTGCCAGTACTCCCGGAATAATACGGCCAAAAGTTGATGCAGCATTCGTAATTGCGAGTAAATATGACGCTAAAGTGGGATTGACGCCGCGCGAGACAGCATAAGTCGGGATGAAGAAGAGCGGAGCAAACATGCCGATGAAAAGAAAGAACAGTGACCCTATCACAAGCAAGTATAAAGGGTCCTTGAAAGGCGTTATGAGGAAGAACGAAGTCTTTCTGCTAGGTAGGCGAGGTCGAATCGCAACGCATGAGAAAGACATGAGAGGTATCATGACAAAACCCATGATGCGGATGGACCAGCCAAAGCCAAGAGAAGAGTCATTCAACATCTTGGAAAAGGCAATCGGGAAGACAACTCCGCCGATAGAGGAGCCTGAAACAGCTATTCCGAGAGCGGCGGCCCTTTTCTTGTCGAAGTATTGGGAAACGGCCGCGAAGGCGGGGATTTGGAGGAATGCCATTGCAGTTCCCATGAGGATGCCTTGAGTAAGCATGAAATGCCAATATTCGGTGCATAAACTGGTCATCATGGTTGCAAAGACGTATGTAACGGCGGCTGGACGAAGGACCTAAGAAACAGTCAGTCTTGATCACCTCATGAGACATATAGAAAGGTACCCAAGATCCGTAGCGATCAAACATGGGGCCACTGACAGCCCCAACAGCAAACTGTATGAATGTCGATGTGGATCCGATCCAAGCGATTGCATCCTCTGAATATCCTCCAAGTTGGTGAGTCATGTAGTATTCTTGAAGAACGCCGAAAGAGTTGGCGAAGCCGAGGCATGAGAAGAAAATACAGGCTGATCCGGCTGCTACCAGCCATGCTTGGAGACCACCGTCTGGTGCAGGTGAAAGATCAAAAGGGTCGCTAGCTAATGGCTTCTCCTCTGAGTCCATATTGTTGCCGGATACAGGAAGTGGCAGTGGCTGAAGCTTCATGGTATCGTCTTCCTTGGTCATGACGGGACAGAGAAACAACAGTGAAGTGCGAGCAAAGTAGTAAATACATGAGAAGAAGACCTCGGAATGTTGAAAATAGTTTTTATACATATCTTCAGGTTCCATACTCCTTTTATGTTACAATCAAGGCGCAACGACTCAGGTTGCTTCGTAGCGTCTATCATACTTACATAGAGATTGGCCAATGACGATCTAACGGAATCGGGATCGGACTCGGAGTTAGAGCCGGAGTCGGCAAACAGACAACCATAAACGCCAAAAGCGCATTTCTCACTCACTTCAATTACACATTTCTCCGCGCCCAACTCCCTCCTGTCAATCAACATCAACAAAGACCGCGAAAATGGAACCAGTGCGTCGCCGACGAAGACCTGCTGTGTAATCCACTCCAACTCCATATTGAAGGGCGACGGCTGATATTCTCACAGGTCGTGCAGTCTTTGCCGAAAGCGCAAGATGCGCTGCAATCGAGGATCGCCGTGTAGCAATTGCATGCGCGCAAGAAAGGGCGATTGCGTCTATGACAATCCTCCTCCAGTTCAAAGAAATGCAAGAGGTCAAGATCATGTCGCTTATGCTCGCCATGATTTCCATGGAATATCACTACCGACACCTGAGGACTTTGTCGCAAGCTCAAACTCAGGATTGCCTGGTATGACTACAGGAGCAGCAAGCTCTTCAACGGGCGCGCCGACACCAGTCAGTCAATCTTCGGTTCAAGAGCTCGAAATCTTGCGAAACAAAGTACGCCAACTTGAGGTTCAGTTATCATCAACCACAGCAGCACCATCGCAATCGCATGTCTCAACGCCAGCTCCAAACCTTGAAACATCATCATCAAAATTGGGCGGAACGTTTCACCTGCACTCCCAGAGGCAACAGGGTAACGCATTAGCAATACCCCGAGCTATTTCTCACAAGTCGCGATTCTTTGGACAAAGCCATTTTGTCTGCGGGTTGCCATTAGTAAGTCGAGGCACTTCAGTTTGCAGTGCTCGTAAATGCTAACAAAAGATTAGCTCCGACACATCATAGAAGCAATTGACCAGTATGCAACTGAGACCTCAGGTCTTGTTGTTGGAGTCCAGAAGTGTAAGGCTATGGCAAAGCGCATCAAAGCGCTACGTGCGCCTACATGGCCGACGCCGCTCACCACTGAGTTGGCATCGAAGGCCCTCTGTGACAACCTCGTCGAGTGCTACCTCGGAAGTATGGAGAAGGCCTATCGCATTCTTCACATACCAACGTTCAGAAAGAAATATGATGCTCTATGGACCTCCGATGATGAGTCAGATCGAGATTTTGTTGCTCAACTCAAGTTGGTGCTGGCGTTGGGCGCGACGACCTACGATGACAGTTTCTCTCTACGGCCCTCGGCCGTTCAATGGATATACGAAGTTCAGACGTGGATATCAGAACCAGAGTTCAAATCAAGACTCGGTATACAATTTCTTCAGACTAATATCCTTCTTCTCCTCGCTCGGGAAATGGTCTCCGTGGGAGGAGAATCGTCCTGGATCGCTTGCGGTTCACTACTTAGGACTGCCGTATCAATGGGTCTGCACAGAGATCCCGCGCTCTTGTCCAAAGCTTCTACGATGGCGTTTGAGATGCGACGACGCCTGTGGAACACGATACTCGAACTCTGCCTTCAGTCAAGTTTATCATCTGGTGGACCAACAATGATCTCAGAAGAAGACTTTGACACTGAGCCGCCTGGGAACTTCGACGATGATCAAATCATGATCGACGGTGCGACCTCCAGACCTGACAGCGCCTTTACTCAAGTTTCAATTGCGAGGGCATTGCGAATAACATTTGCGTCTCGTCTCAAAGTTGTCAAGTTACTCAATGATCTCAAGTCTAGCGACTCGTACCAAGAAACATTACGTCTTGATGCCGAACTGAAGGCTTCATACAAGGAAGCCAATCGGATGTTGAAAGACTGCAGCAAGGGCCAGAATCTGCCTGCAGAATTTGAGCTTTCTGCAGTTGACTTCATCATGCGTCGCTATCTCTGTGCACTACACTTCCCATACTACGGACTCTCTTTGCAGGAACCAAGTTATGCTTTCTCACGAAATATAACGGTCGAGTCGGCTTTCAGAATGTTTTCCGTTGTATCTTCGTCTGATGCCAGCGCAACGAGCTCTACGGAGAAAGATCGTTTTGCGCGACTCATCACCTGCAGTTCTGGCTTCTTCCGACTGTCGGCATGGCAAGCTAGCATATTACTCGTCCTCGAACTTAGGAGTACCGTCCAAGAGGATGATGGCTTTTCCTTGACGCCAGTACGACCAGACTTGTTAACCATTATGGAGGATTCCAAATCCTGGAATCTGCGAACCATTGAAGCGGGCGAGACTAATATCAAGGGCTATCTCATGTTATCGATCTTGATAGCACAAGTCAAGGGCATCATGCGACATTTGTCTGAAACAGAGATCGTTGAGCCCATTGTGAAAGCTGGTGAAGAGGCGATGCAAGACGCATTGGTAGTGTTCGAGTCGCTTCTGGCTCAATTACAACCTGAAGGGACAGAAACTCAGGGCTTACAAGAGATCGATCTTAGCTTTATGGATGATTGGGATTCTTTGGTGAGTTGCATTGCCTGAGCTGTTTGGTCATCGCTAACAGTTGACAGATGGTTGACGACTTTATTGATGATGGAGTTTCGGATCCGATGGCATGGATATTTTGATGTGCTGAAAACGCATATTGTATTTAGTCGACACTGTGATGAACTTAGAGAGTACAGGACGGTGGATTATGTCGAGCTAAGTGGTGCTTTATAACGGCGTTGGGCGTTATTCTATACGGTGTCACTTGAATTACCTACAGATTTGACAAAATTTTGATGTTAATTTGTAGTCGCATTAGCCTCTGAGGCACGTCGGTGTTGCGCAGTTCTCTGTCCAAAACGTGATCTGGAGAGCATTGAGGCTGAGGTTGATAATGAACTAACAGGACAGGTGGGGGCAGCCGCTGAAGTCTGTTATCGTACCATCAGTAGTGCACAAGATGCCTTGACGAAATTATGCAATGGACTCCACAATGTGGTGAAGCTTGTGCAGGCAGTTAGCTAACCATGTTCATGGCAGTGGTGGTTTCGGTAAGACAAGTCACCTGCCTCCAAACCCATCTTGGATTAGTTATGGCAACTGACTGTCTCTCCAAACACATGATAGTATTTCTTATTCGTTTTTTTCTAGTTAGATGCCGCCCATCAGTGTCTATCTCTTCATTGCGAGTCTATGTCAAAGATGAGTCCCACTTTTCTTCCAATCGCTCCAATCACGTAACAGCACCAAATCCTCAACTCCAACAACTCTGGCTCGTTCATCAGCCAACAGAGCACCAATTCCAGATATCACAAATGGCAAAAAGGAGAACTGGATGGCGATGGGATTGCTCCCGCCAGGGCTTGAACCTGAGACCTTCGCATTACTGGATACTCGGGTTGAAGTATTAGTACGACGCTCTAACCAACTGAGCTACGGAAGCCACCAGTTGTGATTGGTGGACAAAGTCTCACCAGAGCTCAGAAGCTTGCATCGGAGTTGAGGCAAGGGTGTGTAGCTAATCTCATAGATACGTTTGACTTGTGGAGTTACAAGAAACAACGTGAATAGTTCAACCGTCTACCTGACATTCTCGTTGATCTCAATGACCGACCAATACGTCACTGGCGGAATCCAGTAACGGTTGAAGTACAAACTGGTCAGTATTGTTCAGTCATGGTTGAGAAATTTCGAGAGCTCAAAGGAGGGATAGAACTGTCAAGACATGTGGTATCACTGGAGATAAGATAGTTTAAAGCACCAAATCGTATTTCAGTTGTCTATAAGTATATGCAATAGATCTAGCACAAGGTATATATGGGTGAATTAAAAAGTCCACCATCCACCTTCCCTCCACCAACAATCACACCATTAAACCATTTAGAGCATGGCAAGAGCACCAACGACGGCGAGGATGCCGGCAGGGACAACCTGGGCAGCACCGGCAGTGACAACACCGGGGTGAGTAGGGGTAGCAGCAGGAGCAGTAGCAGGGCCAGTACCAGCAGGGGGGTTGTAGGCGGGAGCGGTAGCAGGCTTGGTAGCAACGGGGGCGACAGAGCAAGCAGTGGGGGTGACGAGAGAACCCTCACCGTTGAAGGGAGAGTAGCCAAGGCACTCAGCGTAGGTAGCAGCGCAGAAAGACATGTTGGCGTCAGCACCAGTGCGGCACTTGTTGTAGGCGTCGGAGCACTTCTCAGCACAGTCCTTGTTCTCGGCGGGAGAAGAAGGTTTGGGGGGAGCGTAGCCGGTAGGGACGATAGGCTTGGTGGTGGTGAAGTGGCAGTCGGGGACGGTAACGGTGCCGGGAGCAGTGACGGGGATGGTCTTGTTGCCGTAGGTGAGAGTGGTCTTCTCAGGGCAGTAGGTGGTGACAGCAGTGACAACCTCAGTGGTGTAGACAGCAGTGGGCTTTCCACCAGCGTGGCAAGAAGTAGGCTTGACGAACTTGCCGCTCTCCCAGGGGTTGTAGTTCAAGCAGGCAGCGTACTCAGCAGCGCAGGTAGCCATGTTGGCGTTGGGAGCGACACGGCAGTCATCGTACTTGTCAGAGCACATCTCAGCGCAGTCCTTGGCGTGAGTGGGCTTGGGGGGAGCAGCATAGCCGGTACCGGTAGCGACGGGCTTGGTGACGGTGCAAGAGCAGTCCTCGATGGTGAGGGTGGTGGCCTCGGTGACGGTGTAGGTCTTGTCGCCGTAGGTGAGGGTGGTGGCACCGGGGCAGTAGGTGGTCAGGTGAGTGACGACCTCAGTGGTGTAGTGGACGGTCTCGTTGGAGGGGGGAGCATAGTGGGGAGAGGCGGTGGCAGCGCCGATGAGGACGCTGGCGAGAGAGGCGGACTTGATGAAACCCATTTTGAACGGTGTGGTGCTGGTATAAGCTTAAGCGAGTGTAAGAGTTTGTTGAGCACGAAAAAGTTGGACTGTAACGAGTGTGTCTTGTCGTGGATGGATTGAGAAGAAAGGAAACCTCCCAAATCGAAAGGGAATGGGGCTTTATAACCAGTGTTCGCCTCAGCTGAACTTACTACCGATGCCGAACCGATCGATGCCCAGTCCCTCTCCACTAGTAAATTGCGGGGATCAGGAACCACCAAAAAGCTCGTGTTTATTTACAGCAACAGGTTTTCAATACGAACAAGTAATTTACCACGTCAATGGGTCCGGAACTCGGCCACTCCTCGTCAATCCAATTGGTCCTTGCTATACGGCACGCCGAGGAAGCGGGCGAATAGCGGCAGGGATTATCCCGTGTGCTATACGACGAGTCATCTCATCCCCTTTCCCCCTGCGCTAGGCTAAACGTACCGTGCAGTACCTGCGCTAGTTCACTTATTCTTAGCGTCAGAGCCTGATTTATGCATCCATGATTTGTGGTAAAAAGATCTGTGGTTCTTGTCAGCCTCATGATTTTCATGCTTTAAATTAACCTCGTAAAGAGTGATCTTCTACTTTATTTAGATCAAGCAATTTAACCTTGTCGTGTAGCTACACCTCACTACGACATTATCACTACAGACTACAGACTACAGAACTTTGCTGGAACATTGGGTCTGCCGGCTTATCCGAATGAGACTAGCGTTTTGAGTTTCATCTGGTGTTGCCGGCCCCTGGACGGATAATTCAACGGATGAGCGTTTACGAACGGTTGGATGCAAAGGCTCAAACTTCATGATTGGGTGAGACACGGTGTGGCTTTCTGAGCTGATATGGGTAAGCTTACTAGAATAATATGAATCAGTAAAGTATATCCGACCGTATCTGCTCCACTGATCTACTGAGTCTTTTCTCGCGACATTTGCCTGTCCAGCAATTCTTTCAACTCGCCAGTGCAATCTTCTTGGCCCATGAAGACTTCAATCATCGTGACTCCTTCACTATCCTGTACCACTTTCGAGTCCAGCGCTGTTCTCAGTTCTGCGAACGTTTTTGCTGAGAAATATCGCTTGGATGCATCTTCTTGGCTCAAGCCAAACAACCCAAGGGCATGTTGGTGGTTCCACGCCGAAATATCGTTGTAATCCGCATTCCTCCCGTGAATGGCCCGCTCGATTGTGTATCCGTTGTTATTGATGACGAAGATGATTACGTTGAGCTTCTGCTTGATCATTGTGCTGATCTCTTGGGCAGTCATTTGTAAACTTCCGTCGCCGATGAACAGAACTGCTCGCTGCGAACCTTTCATGTCCCGTTGGGCTAGCGCTGCACCGAGTGTAGCTGGGAGCATGTATCCGATCGATAGCCATGTCACGCACGTGAAGTAGCTGCAGCCTTGGGGAAGTTTGAAGACCTTTCCGCCTGTAGCAGCAGTACCAGTCTCGGTCAGAACAATATCGCCGCGACGGAACATGGAGTTCACGTAGTGATAAAACTGAGCTTGGTTGAGAGCATCCGACGGTGAAGGGTCGGGTTGTGCGTTTGTCGGGATAGCAGGACTCTCAATCTTGGCAAGTTTTGAAGAGTCGAATTGGCTGACGATCTTTTGAAGATACTGCCGAGGGTCTACGTCTCGAATGACCTGGCCAGCAATCTTGATCTGACCAGGCGAAAACGAAACCGTCACACTCTCCTCCGGAATCGCCTTGAAGATGCCAGTGTTGATGTTGCTCATGTGTGGACCGAAGAACAAGATCAGATCCGAAGACTTGAAATAATCGTACGACACTTCATCTCCATTATCGGCCAAGTACACGCCATGGACGTTGGGTAATTCCTCATTGATAAGACCTTTACCAAACGCCGAGGTCCAGGTTGGCCAATTAGTAGTATTGATGAGCTTGTTGATCTCATCAATCGCGCCGATACTGCGACTCTCGCCGTCGACAAGGATGAGGGGCTTTGTAGCAGAGTAAATACGCTCCAAGATCTTGTCAACTGTCTCCGCGCTGATCTCGGCAGTAGACGGCGCAGGGCGAATAACAGGCCTCTTCTCAAAATTCGCTGTCGAAACCGGCATCCCAACCAAATCATCGGGAATCTGCAGGTAAACTGGCCTCTGATGGATCATAGCTTGCTCAATAATCCAATCGATCTTGTCAGCCGCAGTCTGCACATCCGTCAAACAAGTCTGCGCAGCAGTAACATGTCGATGCATCTCTGCAAACCTTCCATACTCTCCGTCCAAGAATGTATGGTGCACCAAAGCCCTGGCACTCTGAAGGGTTCTTGCTGGTGCACCGACGATATGAATAACCGGTGCTCGCTCAGCGTATGCACCAGCGATAGCATTGATCGCTGAGAGTTCGCCTACGCCGAAGGTAGTGATGACGGCGCTGAGACCTTGGATGCGAGAGTATCCATCTGCGGAGTAGGCAGCGTTAAGTTCATTGCAGTTCCCGATCCAGTTGATACCAGTTGGTTTGATGTAGTCCAGCAATCTGAGGTTATAATCGCCTGGAACGCCGAAAATAGAGCCGATCTTGAGCTGCTTGAGACGTGTGAAGAGGTATTCCCCAAGGGGGGTTGTTGCTTCCTTTGTATGTGTCATTTTTCTGTTAAATGTTGTTCTATGTCTATAGTGTAAAGAGAAGATATGTCGAGCAATGAAGTGTCTTTATATGTCTTGAAGAATCAGGGCGTCGATGACATCCCCGCGTTGATCCGCATCTTGACGCCTTTGATTGCCGGGCTTACATTCCAAATCAGGAAAAGTAGCAGAATCTCCTTGTCTAGCCGGTCCATCACCTCTTTTGCCGAGGCAGGCCTTCTGTGGAGATGGTAAGCTATACTAAATATGGTGAATTAAGCGGCGTTAGGGATGGAATATCAATTATCCTTGATGCCCGCCGGCGTCGCATGGTGATCAGTCGTCCGTCCAGAAAAGAACATGATAAGTCTGCTAACACATCCGAAATATCTTCCCAACGAAGAATTTGCAAACTTGCCCGTGATGTGAGAAGCGAAAATTATAGAGAATAGAGCAGATGAAAGAAAGCGCTGTTATCCCAAGTTTTGACGATGAAACCTGAGCTAGTAGAGAGTAAAGTGAGAGTACAGGGTAAGCGGGTCCCTCTGAGAACAACCCAGCGTTGGCTCAATTTCTAGTCACGCGTGACCACCAGAGACATGACAAAGGGCGTCGAAACCGTTATCGTGACCGGGAAACAGTCTTTACACCGCAAGTATGCGGTTATCGGCTATAATTCAACTACTCCTCTAATAAATGATCAAAATAATCAAGTTGCTCTCACTCTCCTTTTTCTGAAGCGTAATATTTCTTCTTCAACATATTATCCGACAAGATTGCGGTTTGCACTCATCTTGGAGAGCTCAAAAGACAATTGTCCATTTGAGTAGAGATTTTGACTGTAGATGTTGCACGTGATCGCCCCCCGCATTTGGACATCTCACCAGATAATGAGGTTGTTTGATAAAAGATACGCGGCATACAATGGTCGTTCTGGTGGTGCCGTCATATAATAAGTTGTAAGCACAGAGGGCGACACAAAATGCAAGATGCGATGATATCTATTAGCGGTTGCTAGTATATTTTATCCCGCCGCTGGCTTTTTTAGACGTAGTCCTCTAGATAAGTGTCTTGACGGTAAATTGGTTATACCAGTATAGCTAGGTAAGTACTTTTGGATGCTATTGAGCATACTATAGATGTTTATTGTAGATGTTTTCGCCGGAGATGTTGTCACCGTAAATATAATCACAGCAAATGTCACCATTAAAGATGTTATCACTATAGTTGTTGTCATTATGAATTTTGTCATTATCGATGGCTTGATATAGAGCGCGGGGAATATTCTTAGTATAATCAACTTGCTGGACATAATGTCACTGGGCCTTGAAGAGACTCTCAGGTAGGGAGGGCATCGTTCTTAAAGACGTTTGCTCTGGCTTTCATTATGGCAAAATAGTCACCGTCCCTTCGTGCTGGTATGAAAGCCGGCGGGTGGCTCACTGGTGCTGGTCGTATATCTCGCAGCTGTAGTGGATAATGCCGGCACCGAATTCCAAGCAAATCATCAAGCTGAGAATCGGTTTTCTCATGCAAGAATGTAGTGCAAAGTCAACAAGAGATATGTTGACTTATCAATCACTGTGTAAGTTGCAGTCTCAATATCAGGATCGGCTACCGTCTTCACAATCGTTTCAACATTGTCAGTCTCAGTGGTTGTCTTGACTCGAAGGATAACTACGTCTTCGTCCCTGCGAATAGCCCTGTTGATGACAGCAATATTGGTCTTGACAGCTTCTGGCTGAGCTCAAAGCAAGAGTTCATCGGAAACCCTTCCGGCGGAAGCTTTCCGATTGCTGATCTTCGGAATGCTTCAGGACCAAGACAAATTCTACCATTGATATGGCTTATTAGCCTGGCCCGATATGAAGCAGATGCAAGCCACTGGGTGAACTTCTGGTCGCCGAAAAGATAACTGAATGTTTTATGATGGCAAGAACTTCAGATATGCCACTGTAACAGGGCTGTGAGATGCAACCGTCGGTTAGGTAGCCAATACCGTTACACGTCTCACCAACCTCATGCAGAGCTCTTTTAAGAGCTAACTGCTTTGAGGCATACGTCAACACATTTCTTTCAACGACATGAATCTAATCTTGCTTAATTCCAAGACTGGTAGTTAGATCAAACTGCACCAGCTGGTTGGTTACTCAAGTTCCTGTAGATCAAGTTACTACAACGGGTAAAATGTCGAGAGATATGCATGAACTATTTCATGACTCTCGTCATGTAAGTTTTATGTTCTTCAACATGAATGGCCAGCTCGGCAATCTTATCTATTCCATCTGTACAACCTTGTCCCACTTTGTCAAGTTCAAGCGAAACGGGAACGTAGTAAACCCGACTGCGGGGTAGCTTCAACCTTATTCATCTTCGGCATCTAGATTCGTGGTCCGAGACCAAAACGGCTCAAACACTACAAACATCTCCATATACTATACCAAGTTCCAGCATATCGAGTTTGAGTATATAAGAGACCATGAGTTTACAACAAATCATGGAGCATCAGCTCGATAATTCGACATTGTCAGACACAATGTACTCTCTCATGTCTCCAGCTGTATTGTTAGGATCTCTTTTCTTCTCTTTTCTAGCTGCAGCGAATTCTTCTATACCACAAATTAGTCTTCAAGGATATGGAACATTCGCGGGTACAAACATCTCCAAGACTTTACTCGGAGACAACCTTCCTCAACCCGTTAATGCTTGGCTTGGTATAGACTACGCCGAGCAGCCAGTCGACGACAGACGCTTCCGTCCTCTCCAGTCTCAACCTCAATCTCTTAAGGGCGTGCAGAACGCTACAAAATACGGTTCTGTTTGCTTACAGGATCGCATGTATCCTAACCCAGATGAACAAGACGAAGCATGCTTGAACTTTAACGTCTTCCGTACACCTGGTGTGCCGCTCAGCAAGAAACTACCAACGCTGATTTGGATCCACGGCGGTGGTTTTGCATCTTTTTCAGGGCGAGATTTCGATGGTGCTTCTTTTGTTGCTTCCTCTGCTGATCCAGTTGTCGTTGTTACGTTCAATTACCGCCTCAACGCTTTTGGGTTCTTGCCTAGTAGGCTGTTTGAGCGCGAGGGTCTGCTCAACCTTGGCTTGCAAGACCAGCGTTTCTTTTTGCAGTTTCTGCAAAAACACTTGAGCTCATTTGGTGGAGATCCTCGTCAAATTACGCTCGGAGGTCTATCAGCTGGTGCACATTCAACAGCCTTTCACTATTTCCATAACTATGGCTCTGATAAGAACAAGCCCCTCTTCGCGCGGGCGATTCTTCAATCTGGTTCAGCGACAGCTCGATCATTCCCCAGTCCCGACTATCCCAGATACAAGGAAGATTTCGCAGGACTCATGAAGCACATCAACTGCTCTACCAATGTTGATGACAAGGAGCAAATGGACTGTCTGCGCAGTGCATCGGCGGAGAGGATTAGGGAGTACTCGGCAAAGGCATACGAGGATGCTAAAGATCAACTTAACTGGCCTTGGCAACCATCCATTGGAGGTCCGTTGATCGAGAAAGCGGGATCCAAGAGTGAAGAAGAGGGCACGTTCCATCATCTCCCCATCATCACAACCTTTACCTCTGATGAAGGAAAATACTACACTCCCGGCGACTTGGAAACCAACGACGACTTTGTTCAATTCTGGCACCGAATCAGCCCTGGTCTCAACATCACCGATCTCGCTCTCATCAATGAACTTTACCCAGACCCCGCAGCATACCCTGATTCCCCATGGGCCGGATCTCCCAATAGCACCCAGTACAACCGCATCTCAGCAGCATGGTCTGATATGGCCTATATCTGCATGAGCCGCCACACAGCCGTCACTACATCAGGGGCAGGAGTTCCAACTTGGAGTCTTCATTTCAACACTCCTGACTTTCCGTTGGTCGCTCAGTCATGGAAGGGTATTCCTCACGCTTCTGATGCTGCATACATATGGAATGATCCCCAAGTTGCTTATCCTGAGACTGCGAGAATTTACTATCGGTATATCAATAGTTTTGTCTTGACGGGTGATCCTAATAAGATGAGATTGGATGGGGCCGTGGAGTGGCCGCAGTATAAGGCGGGTGAGAAGGGGAGTGGGTATGCGAAGCAGCTTCTGGTGAACCCTGGAAACTTTACTGTTGTGGAGGAGGATAGAGGTCGGGGAAGGCAGTGTGAGTTCTGGAATGATCTTGAAAGAGCTGGCCGCCTCTACAAGTAAACATGGTATACGACAGAAAGCATGTTCAGTTATCCCAGCAGTTAGCGTGCATCAAGAGGTATCGTAGCAAGAACGAAAAGGGGGAAATATGAGCCGAGTTTATGTCAATCAATATCAGAGAAACCTCCTGACCCTATCAAAGCGGCATCATAAAGCTTTCGTCAAACTCATCACACTGAATGCCATTACCATGCGGGAACATAGCATAACTTCCACCTGCTTCATTAATTCTAAACTGCGGAAGGCCTTCGCCATAAATATACTCATGAACTTCCTTGTCAAAACACGTATACCGACCAAAATCAGGCTGGTTCAGCCTCACGAGTATACGGATCTTAACCCTCTTATCGACCAGCCTATGTCTCTAGCCTAGCTTATCTCTGATATCAGCTAAAATTCTAGCATGGTTTCCTTACCCGTCGAGGACCGAGAGAAAACTTAGCTCGAGGGATTCAAGCGTCAATGGGAGTTTTGATAAGAATGATATAAGGTCGCTTTGGGTAACTTGCATGCCAGAAAGTCCGAAATGCTTTAGACCCCGGCTTGACCACTTGCCAATAGGAAAAAGTTCAGACAAAAAGATAAAATCCTTCACGTCGCCGCCCCAACAAGTTTCATCCACGGAATAGTCAGTTTGTAGAACTATCTCCTGCAGATCCGAAGCTTCGGCGAGGAGATTGGAGATTCTTCTGTTACGGTAAAAGTCCCAGTCTTCCGCATCGCCGTCAAAGAGATACCCAACCAGTAAGGAAAGGACAAGGTGTCAGAAGCCCGGTTGCTCAATATTCTTGCAAAGATTATCATACTACTCATTAGGCCGATCGAATACAAAATGGTTGATTCTAGTGGGCAGCTTTTTGTTATCCAACCGTAGCTCAGAGATTTGATAAGTGTCAGCCTGGTTGGCCAGAACTCGTGTAGCGATGCAGAATCCCCGCCATTTGCTCTTCTCATCCTCACTCTGCCAAGGGTTCGCCTCCTTTCCCAAACGATCACCTTCAGCACATAACCATCCCCGAGGGATCGGGTACACGAATCTGCAAGGGAAAGCTCGAATCATATGTATCTCGTATAACGGCACAAACAAAAATCCATGCGTCGCTGGCGTAATAGTAACCTTGGTGAGCCAAGGAAATCGTTACACCGCATACCGAAAAGCTTTACCATTAGCACCTGACTCCAGAATTTGGCTTTGCTGTTGCAAAAGGCGGTTATAATAGGCAAGTGATTCTAGTAAGGGCATGGGATTGTTCAACTTCTCTTTCGGTTCGCTTTCGCTTTGTTGTTCATTCTTGCTACTCAGATGGGACTTGCTATCAGAGATGCTGCCTCTACAAAGACGCACGAAATGCCTCGAGATTTGTCCTTTGTTTTCGGCATCATCCCAAAGGATGTCTTTGACGCGATGTCGGAAGGTGTCGTGATTGGCGACAGCGCGCAAGACTTCGACATTACGCGGGTTGGCCGAGATGAAAACGCGTTCAAACCGCAAAACTGAGTTTTGTCCCAGATATCGACAGGTCAGACGTAGGCTCTTGATGTCGCGGTTGCGAAGAAATCCGCAGATGGCACTGACGAGCTCAGTCAGTAGGGCTTGGAAGGCGACCGAGGAAGTCATGATAGAAGAGACCAAGATTCAATATGTGAAAGAAAGCTTGCCTAGCGAGTTACTTAGCCCTATTTGCGATATTCTGCCAAACAGCGACATCAAGAATCTTCGACTCGCCGGCCCTCTTCTCGGTCGAAAGTGCCAACTGCAGATCAGTCGCGTTTTTATATCGCCCAATCCTCGCAATCTTGATGTAGTCCGCTCCACCGCTAGCCTTGAAACCTATCACTTAGGCATAGAAGAGGTCATCTGGGACGATGCCACCTTGATGCCTTTCGGACGCGACGAAGTACTATTCGACGAGTACTCCGACGAGAGCGAGGAAGAGGACTCCGCAGAGAAAGACGCTGAAGGCAGAGAGTGTTTTTCGTGGTATACTCGTGGTTGCAAGAGGAACATCAAAGCCGTAAAGGATCGCATGGCGGACCAGGTTTCACGGCCCGATGCTCTGTCAAGACAGCATCAGTTGGACAATGCAATGTCATACCGAGACTCACTTGAGTACTAAAAGGTCCTGGAAAGCCAACGGCGAGCTATCATGGCGTCAAAAAACGGACGAGGATGTCCTTCGCTATGCTCTTCACCAGTTCCCCAAACTGAAGAGAGTGATCGTCACACCGGCTGCTCAGGGATATCTTTTTGAGCCGCTCTACAAAATACCCATGATTCGGTCTTTCCCATATGATTTAATCTATCCTGTACCCCGCGGGTGGCCCACACCTTGGCCTAGACGCCCCTGGGCATTTGTCATGCCGTGGATTGGCGACGAGGCCGTTGAGGAACAGAAGAACCAATGGCATGGTGCCCGAATCGTCACAAAAGTCCTGGCTGAAATGAAGCACAACGTCACGGAGTTGATCTTTGACGATCATCTGCTCCAAACTGGCATCAATCACTTAGCCCTCAATCGAGGCACGGAAGAATACAACAATTTTTGCGATATAATAAAGTGTCCCGGTTTCCGGAAGCTTAAATTATCTCTGCTCGTTGGTCTCTGGCTTGCCGAAGAATATGATATATATGAAAAAAGGTACTTACGCGACGCTCTTTATCAAGCAACCGATATGAGGCATTTCAGCTTTCATACTGACTTTGCCACGAATCGCTATACTTCCACAGTCGACATACATCAATACGCATCGCTATTCGACGTCTTTCCTATTGACCGCTGGCAGAAGCTCACGCACTTCGGGCTATCAAATGTACTAGCAACACAGAATGATCTTATCTCTTTCCTATCAAAGTTGCCGCCAACAGTACAAACCGTTGAGCTGAGCTTTCTAACTTTCATGAAAGGTGAAGGCCACTATAGAAGCTTGATAGAAGATATCCGCGATAAGCTCAATTGGAAACATCGACCTGTGGAGGAAAAGATCAAGATACATGTCAAGTCATTTTGTTATTTGTCATATTACGGCCGATATATCTGTATTAATAGGGAAATCGAAGAATATGTCTATAATGGCGGATCACAACCATTCCAACTTGGGCAGCGCGGTAATGGCTCAGATGTTGATCAGGGTACCGGTGTACAGAGAGACTTGTTCGATCCGTCATGGGAACGGCCTAATGAGTCTTCCTAGGCTTTGAGGGAACTTGGATATGTCTACGAATGGATGGGCTTCTGGGATGGCAATGAACATTGTGCTCGACGTCGATCAAGTTCTCAAGACATAAGATGCAGACCTAGTAATAGAGCCAGTTTACCATGGTATATCAAAGAGCCTTGGTTTATCTATGCTATTGTGTGAGAGAAAATAAAAGCTATGAGTGAGCTTGAACGAAATGCTTCAGAAGGCGCTTCTCTAGCTTAAACAGTTGCCATATTAGTCCTTTTGACAATGGGTTCGGACAACATAAAGGCTTTCCCCTGGAACCGATTACCAAAGGTATTCTGAGTATAAGCCAAACACAACAGGACAACATGATGGAGCTTCTACACTTATGCTTTTGTTCATGGCCGCCTTCTTAGGGGTTATGAATACACTCTTCCAGAGAGCTATTACGCAACGATAGAGCTTTCTCTCTCTCACAGGCAGAACCTCACTGTCACCATTCCACACGGTTAAATAGTGTTGACTCCCCCCAAGTGACATGCAAAGCTCTCCACTTCATAGAATACAAGCTTCCCAAGGTCTTGGTAAAGTTTGGAGCAGACGCCATTATATTATGTAGCCTGGGTTTCACGTTCCGCGACAGGATCTACAGTCATCATGGCTCAGTGATGAGAATTGATTTAAGAGTGCGCCCTGAACTTAGCGACAGAACTATTCTATTTACGAAATGTTGGATATACCTCTTGTTTAAAACCTAACTCGCTTCTATGGTGATAGAACGTCAGGTAGCTAGCGACGAAGAATGCGAACCGCTTGCCCCCAATAGAGGGAAAACCAGGGCAACCAGAAGGATGTCGTCAATCATGAATATGGTGAGTTGTTTGCTGTTGTCAAATGCCGAACTTGGACAGGACTCAGACACCTATAATACGGGCTGTAAAGCACAAGCAAAGCCTTTATTCTGTTGATCTGATTTGTGCTCTGGCGCATGATATACACCCAGAATATCATAAGTGGATCGCGATGCTGGCTTTCTTGATTTGAAACTTTAGTCTGGCTCACTGCATATCCTCTCGCATCCGGCCTGTGTAGCGTCGAATAACCGGGTGCTGTTACTTGGTCGTGATTCACTCACTCACTGCTTTGTGGTGCAGCCGCTCCCGATCTAGGCAGAAATACAGAGCAACTGTTTTCTCAATCTCCGGCTTCTCTCCAGTTCATCTCATTTGCTCTCATCTCTTCACTTTCCTCCTCACACACTTATTACTTTATCACTCCCTTCTTTCATCACTTCTCCTTGACTTTACATCCTTCAACCAACTCCTTCTAACCACATCACCTCTTACTTCAATCATCGGCACTAAACATCATTTCAAATCCCACAGCGCACCCATTCCAGTTGCCCAACCACTATCAAACCATGTCGAGTCGCAGCTTCAACGCTTCGCTCGACCGAATGCCGACGGAGCTCCTCCGTATGACTGGGCGGCATATGAGTCGCGACACTCTTGGCAGTGTTACTCGAGTCTCCAAGAGACTCCGCATAATTTTCCTCTCCCAGCTTCTTCGCACGATGACTTTCACCGGAGACGTATCGGAAATTGCTCGAGATATTCGGTCACTTCAGGAGAAACACCCCGCATCTCCATCCGGACCTCTCTACAAATACATCAGGTAAGGTTCACTCTCTACATTCCTCTGCACCAACCAACACGCCTGCAGGTTTATTAATTTCATCTTAAAATCGCCTTTGACGCTCCATCAAAGCATGTTAAGCTCTCGATCTCTTCGCACCCCTGGAACCGTTCGTGACCTGTTTCGCGAGGCGACTGAACTCCAGGGAGTGAGCTTCGACTTTGGCGCTGCCCCTCTCATTTGGCAAGAGTACTTCATCGCACATTTAGGTGATGCGAGTGATTGGCCTGGCTTGAGTAGCCTGTGCGTCTTCAGGGCTCATCCGACCATTTACAGGGCCATCATCAGTCGCAGCACTTCAGAAGATCTGAAGGCTCTCGCAGTGTCTTCGTACAGATGCTACAAGAGGCTGAAGCCTCGGTATTCCCATCTCAAGCGGCTGGCCGTTGTCGACTTCTTCTGGGTTCCGATGGGCAGGCTCCGACCAGTGAAAATTGCTGGGATCCTGAACGACATTGCCGACAACTTCAAACACCTTGAGTGCCTAATTCTTGGAAACTTCCTCAATGCTACTGGTTATCAACGTCAACGCCAGTTCCAAACCGAGCAGGATAGTAGAGATCTAGTAAGTGGCCTGCAATACTCTGGCGGGTTGCTAACCCACACGGATCTGAATGCGGAATCTTACAACTGACAATCACGTACAGAACATCATGATCATCAAACTCGTTATGACATTGAAGGCCATGCCGCGCCTCGTCCGCTTTGCATTCACTCTCGACGATGCTACATTCGGAAGCCGCCACTTTGGCGAAGGCTGGAAGCCATGGAATACCGATGCTGGCAAGATGACGTGGTATACTGACCAAGTTCATGGCATCTCGGGTTGCGTTCCCCGACTTCAGCAGCTTTGCATCAGAACCCAGCCCGCTACCTATATCCGAGGCATAAGAAGATCTAGCCAGCCCAAAATGGCGATTAGCTGGCAAACTGATATGCAGGGCACTGGTCACGGTTTTGATCAAGTCTTTGTTTAGACCAGCGAAGAATTCGACATTCTAAACCTCCATTTGGACGAACTCCATGTGGAGGGGCATTCATCGAGGGGTGGTGCGATGCGGATGACCTACAGTGTACGGTTTTTGGAGGCATGGAGTGCCGCACCGTTCAGAAAAGCACAATTTGAGGAATTATTAAGCACATCGGGAAATACGTCAACAAGGAGTTATTCATTCATCGAGGCCAGGATCTCATACAACATCGGACAGATTGCCATTATCAAGGACAGAAAATTTGCTACTGTTTTATTGCTAGTTATACAGTTTTGGACGGAATGTACATCATTGAGCTACCTGATTCGAAAACACGAACGTGATAGCTTCACATCCGTGCAAGCCGACACTGTCGGCTTGAGGGACTGCTTAGACTACAATCGCTGTGCACGGTGCACAAGGTTCATTAGACTATGGGATTGTAAAAATGATGGATGATCCATGTCGACGACTGAATGTGCGAAAATGTCGGATTTAATTGCCAAACTGGTATGCACTCGACTAAATTGCTTTTACCCTTTTGAGGGCTTGTGACACGCGTTGGGTATCTGGACTGAGGAGCTATGCGCACAGGGAGTGATTTGCGTTTATCAAGCATAAGATTTGGTACAATGTTGGTTATGTTGTCTCCAGTGAGGAGAAGTATATTACTAGCTATGAGTCTTTGGACAGAGTTCACATCATTGAGCTGCCTGATGCGAGAATACAAGGGTGCATGTACTGAAAGAGGGCTTTCAAAACCTTGCCTTGCCAATCCCATGCAAGCTGAGAGCCTCAGCTTGACTTCCAAATGGGTCAACCTCTCCTTAATACGCATAGTACAGCGTCGACTCGTTCTCAGATTGTCTGATCTTCTTATTCTCCTGCATGAGCCATAATCTCATTCCCCACGCACCAATCGCAGTTGCGACACTCAAGGCAGCACTTGAAGACATGGCCATGGTGTAGCGTGGTTCGTCAGAGGAAGGCCACATATACGGAGTCCAAATGAATGATGCGACAGCGATACAGTTGACGATGGCGAGAGAACAGGCTTTCTTCTCCTTGGTTTGGGAGCAAGTGGCGGAGACCCAGCCGAGGATAATGCTGTTGACTGCGTATGTACCGATCGAAAAGACGCACATTGCGACTATACTTGTTAGTTTTGATGTTATCACTTTGAGATATTTGGGAACTTACAGTATCGAGCACCGGTATTAAGCGTTGCACAACCAAGAATGAAGCCGAAGACCGCAACAGCTTTAGCAATGGTGATATGCCTAAACAGTCAGTACCAACACCATCAGCAAAGCCAGCGAACTTACCAAGTCCTCTCATTAAACCTTCCAGAAGACCAAGACCAAGCAATCGAGATCGCCCCCGCGATCAAATAAGGCGGACACGTCAAAACAAGGGTAATATTCTGATTGAACCCCAGTGTCTTAACAGCAGTCGGGAAGAAATTCTTGAACCCATTCGCACCAAGATGACAATGCTGCATGACGACGAAAAGCCAAACCTTAGGATCTTTCGCTGCTTCACGAATACCAGAGAAGCTTGTTGATTCGCCGGTATTTCCTACGGTGTCGCGCTGGGTTCGCTCGTGGGCTAGTTGACGTTCCTGTTCGGTCAACCAGTGTGTTGTTAGGGGCTCGTCGGGGAGGACAAAGAAGCCGATTAGTGCGACGATGAGGGTTACTGCGCCTTGGATGATGAAGAGCCATTGCCATCCGGCGAGGTTGGCCTGACATGTTAGCGATTGCAGGGCGGTGGAGTGGGGGACGTACCATTCCGTCCATCTCAAAGATTCCAAGGGCGATCAACCCCGCAAACGCCGTAGCAAGGATATTTCCTGTATAAAGGATCGAGATGCGGGTAGCAAGTTCCTTGCGAGTATAGAATCTTGCAAGGATATACAGTGCACCAGGATAATACGGCGCTTCAGTAATGCCCAAGAAGAAGCGCGTAAGTAGAAGACCAGTGTAATTACGGCTTAACGCCGTCAAGCCACTGATGATGGCCCAAACCGTCATACACGACGCCATCCAGATGCTTGGTCGAACGCGAGTAACTACCATGTTCGCTGGAATACCCACGATGACATAACCTGCAAAGAGAATCGAGACGCAAGTCTGATATTGCGAACCGGTGAGGTTGAGGTCCTTTTCGATCGTGTTGAGACGAGCGAGGGCGATGGCGTTGCGGTCCTGATATGGTCAGCATTGACAACTGTAAAGTGAATAGCTGCAAGCTGACCAAGTAGTTGAGCCAGTACATCAGCCAGAGAATAGGCATGATCCACCAATCGAGCTTTCGCACGAGAGCAATTTCACGAGGATCAGTCTTCTCATGGGCACCTGAGTAGTCGCGTGCTTGGGGGGCTGTCTTGAGGACCTCTTCGACCTCATCGAGAGCGCCGGGGTCCTTATCTCGTTTGTCCAAAGAGTGACGAGCAGCCATGTTGTTGTAGTTGTGATGAGTTGGCAGATGACCGTAATAATGCGAGGGTGATCTCTCTCTTTATAGGCAGGCTCACCCAGGGATCCTAATGTTACCATCCCATCATGTAGTTCCTCTCCTGTGTTCCATTGCGTATCTTTCGTTGACGTCAATCCGCAAAATACCGTATGTCCTCAGCCATGCGCCCGCAAAGCAATGCGGGGCGAGAGCCAAGTATCCCCAATACGAAAAGTCCATTGGATGGCGTTGTTCTCGAAGAATTTAAAATGCCCTCCTCCACGCTAAGATCATCTTGGCAGGCGGGGTAAAGACGCTTAAAATCATGCTTAAATGTGCAGGCTAAGGCTTTCTTGGAAGGTATTGGGGGAATAGAGCGTTGAAGATGTCTTGGCGAGAATATCGTCATTGTCTTGAGCGAATTATTTCGCGTTTGGTGTTGCTGCCTATCAAGTTGCTCGAGATATATCGGGAGCGATGGATCGTGTTCAAGAGGTTATAGAGTTTGTGGCTGGAGTGCTAGAAGAAAGAACGGAAAGAACCGAGACACAGGGTCAATCTAAGTTTGATCTAAAGAATGTAGAGAGGGATATACGAGCGATATCTACTGGCCGTCACTCTAGACAAGCCAGTCGTTCTGTTTCGACAACCCCAACGCCTAGAAACGCTGGCCCATATGAGGATGCATATCCCCGCAAATGCCCAGAAACGCCAAGCATGCAATCTTCCCCATTAGATCAGATCATCATCTTCCCGGCTCTTCATCTAGCTTCCGGATCGTGGTGGCACTGCAGTTCTGGTGCAGATTGTCGAATACTTGCCGATTGGCTACTGGGGTCTAGAAACACACAACGTCTGCCGTAACTTTCTCGTCCACTATCACGACAAGATCTTGGCGGACGGGCCAAGCCATCCTCAACTACCGGCGTTACGGCAGTCTAGGTCCAACTTAGTTGAGCCACAAACAGAGTCCAATATGTCAACGCTCTTGGACTTCATGAGTCGCACGCGCATCTGAACGGCTACTTGCATATATACTTCCGTTCATTACACTTGTTGGCGTCCTCGAAAGCGCATCGTGCTACAGTAATCAAGGTATCCAGTTTTAAGATAGTGCATGAACGAGAAACGGTATTCGAATGGTAAGGATATGTATTTGACTACTAGGCCAGCTATCTTCCAACCGACCAAGCAGCTACCATTTGATGAGATTTTGTACAATCAAACAACTATATACAGAGTTATAAAAGAAGAATACGGTGATGACCGAAAACAACTGCAACAATGCTTCCCCTCAAGACCAGCGATCTGATCTTACCACGCAGACTGCATTTAGCGGAGAGCGTTGACAACAGCAGTGTAAGCCGCCTTAGGGTTGTAGTTAGCATCGAACAAAAGGCTGTCGTGCTCCTTGCGCCAAGAGTTCTTGTCAGAAACACCCCAGACGGTGATACCAATGCACTTGGGGACGTTGAGGCAGGCCTTGGTGACGGTGGCGTAGTCGTTGGCGGGAGCAGTGCGGATGTCGAGCTCGGTGATGGCAACCTCCTTGACACCAGAGTTGGCGAGGGCAGTGAGAGCACCCTGGATTTGGCCAGCGGCACCGGGGTCGAGGTGGGTCTGGGAGCCGATGCCGTCGACGGGGACGCCCTGGGACAGCCACTTCTTGACGGAGGGGACCATGCCCTTGGAGACCTTGGAGGCGCTGGCGGAGTCGAGGCTGTAGTCGTTGATGTACAGCTTGGCGTTGGGATCGGCCTTGCGGGCGGCGCGGAAGGCAATGCCAACGTAGTCATCGTTGCCGAAGACGTTGTTGAAGTGAGAGTCCTTTCGGAGAGTACCGTCCCAGTCGAAGATCTCGTTGACGACGTCCTGAACATGTTAGCAAAGCCATTTATTAAGAAGTCCGAGTGAAGAAAACATACCCAGGCGTAGATCTTGCCCTTGTAACGTCCAACGACGTTGGTGACGTGGTTCTCAATGACCTTGGTCAAAGTGGCCTTGTCGTTGATGTTCTTAACCCACTGAGGAAGCTGGGAGTGCCAGACCAGAGTGTGACCTCGGACCTTGAGGCCATTCTGCTGGGCAAAGTTGACGACCTGGTCGAAGCTTCCAAAGTTGAACTTGCCCTGGCTGGGCTCGGTGGCATCCCACTTGCCCGAGTTCTCGGGGGTGACGGCGCCAAAGTCGGCCTTGATGATGGCGGTGTCCTTCTGGACGCCGAGCAGGTTGGGGTCGGTGATGGTTCCGTAGTAGAGCTTGCCCTTGTTCTTAATCAGCTTGTTGATGCTGTCGGAGGCCTGGCGGGGCTCGATGGCGGTAGGAATGGCCGCGACCAGCGAGGCGGTGTAGAGGAAGGAAGACAGCTTCATTGTGAAGAAGTTTTGGTGAGATATGTGACAAAGAAAGATAAAGTTGATTGGCCTGCAACGGTAAATGAAGCTGTGAAGTTGTTGTAATGAATGTAGTTGTTTGAGTGATGAGAATGCCAAGTGCCAAGACAGGGTGGACTAGGCCATCTTATATATCTAGATCGGGTCAATCCCTTG